GTACTGCCCTTACCTCTCCCAGCAAAGACTGTGGATCTGGCCCAAGGGAGCCACATTGCGAGAGAAGCTATGGGGGACCGGTGGCGACCTTAAACGCACAATCCTATTTGTGACCCAGACGGGACTCAGTGTTTAGCATGACTGATGTCGAACACAGAAGATGAAGAAGAGTCCATGTGATTGAGTGTGGTGATGTAAAGAAATGATTTTAGAATTTACATAATTGTGGTATTGTGAATAAATCATTTGAGAATTAACTCTTTGCGTCCCAGTGGGTTTAGCATCACAGGCCCAGAGGGTAGTCAAGAAAGTCATAAAACCGGTGCATCATGCATTCATTGGGCTTCTAGGTAGGAAGCTATGAACGTATGATGCGTTTCTTGGGACTCAAAGAGTTAACACCTTGGCATTCCCAGATGTTCACCATCACCTTCAGGAGAATGAGAAGAGATGTAATAGATAAATGAATAAATACTAATAAATGGGACTAATGCCCGGCCTATCCTCATCCAAATAGTGCCACTTTGTGTCACTGGGTGTTGTTTGCTTGTTGTGCGGTCCTCGTGGGGTTGAACAACAAACAATGCTAAATAAATAAATTATGACTATTTTTTCACAAAATAAACATGGTATGTAAGCACTGAAAAAATAATTACATTTTCATACACCCCCTCCCCCACCAAACCTCAGCAGAATAAATGTGACATAACAAAAGTAAACAAATTAATTACATTTCTGATTTTTCTCCTGTTCTGGAAACAGACTTGGTCTATTAATAGTAAAGTAAAGAAAATTACAAATCTGCAGTTTTTTAAATTTTAATTTTAGGGAACAGATTGATGAAAACAACATGGAGCACACTGCAATTGCTGAACACTTACTGACTACCATGCTTGAGCTGTTGCAACAAAAAACTGGTGAACTCGTTAGTGAAGAATTCTTCCTCATTAAAATGAAGATGGAGGAGTCATACACTAAAATTCAAGTAAGTAATAAAGGTCCTATCTATGGGGATAAATGCAACGATTATTAACCCTCCTGTTAAACATGGAAACTTTAAAAAGGGCACTTAGGAATTGCCAGAATTTGACACAGATCACTAATAAATTTGTTTTGCAACATTTCAGTGGTCCCAGGTAGTTAGTGTTCTTTGGATATTTTCTCTTGGGTATGTGGGAGTATTGGGAAAAGGACATGCAGGCAGATTGGATGGTTCCGCACCAACGAGTAGTGAATTTGTGCGTGACGAGCTACATATGGTCAAGGCCGTTTAGGAGTACGTGAACAATATGGACGCACAGACAGATCATTATGGTCTGGAGAAATTGATACAGCTAGGAGTGACCAGCGGATCTGGGTAAGTGAACAATATGGACGCACAGACAGATTATCATGGTCTGGAGAGGTTGGTGCAGCTAGGATCTGGGTGGCACTCTACACTCAGAAGAAAGACCAGATGGACTGACTGTAACCAGCACCATAGGAACAGGAACTCATTAGCTGACTGCTGAAGATGAGGGCTGAGGACTTATGGGAATGTCCTGAATGCTGTGATGACAACTTTTGACAGCACTCAGAAGAGCCCTAGTCCAATTGCACTACCATATAAGGTTAAGCAGCTCTGTATCCCAGAGTACTTACAATCTTGTTTGGCCATTCTGCTTCTGCTTTAGAGTATAGATTTACATGTAAATGACATTCTTCAGTCATAAAGAAAACCTGATGTTTTACTGTTGTGTCTCTGGTTGCTTTTGTAGAACATTATGAGAAGTCAGCCCCTAGAAATGGTGCAGACGATCAAGAACTGTCTGGCCAAGGAAGCAGAAGTAATTGAACAGATAGAGGTAAACTTTATTCTACTTGTTCTTCATTAACTTTTAGCTGCATCAGTCTCTTGTGTAAATGTGGCCAGTCACTCAAGCTTCTCTTGTGTAAATGGGGCCTGTCACTCAAGCTTACCTTGTGTAAATGTGGCCAGTCACTCAAACTTATCTTGTGTAAATGTGGCCAGTCACTCAAGCTTCTCTTGTGTAAATGTGGCCTGTCACTCAAGCTTCTCTTGTGTAAATGTGGCCAGTCACTCAAACTTATCTTGTGTAAATGTGGCCTGTCACTCAAGCTTCTCTTGTGTAAATGTGGCCAGTCACTCAAAATTATCTTGTGTAAATGTGGCCTGTCATTCAAGCTTATCTTGTGTAAATGTGGCCAGTCACTCAAGCTTCTCTTGTGTAAATGTGGCCAGTCACTCAAACTTATCTTGTGTAAATGTGGCCTGTCATTCAAGCTTATCTTGTGTAAATGTGGCCAGTCACTCAAGCTTCTCTTGTGTAAATGTGGCCAGTCACTCAAACTTCTCTTGTGTAAATGTGGCCAGTCACTCAAGCTTCTCTTGTGTAAATGTGGCCTGTCACTCAAGCTTCTCTTGTGTAAATGTGGCCAGTCACTCAAACTTATCTTGTGTAAATGTGGCCTGTCACTCAAGCTTCTCTTGTGTAAATGTGGCCAGTCACTCAAACTTATCTTGTGTAAATGTGGCCTGTCATTCAAGCTTATCTTGTGTAAATTTGGCCAGTCACTCAAGCTTCTCTTGTGTAAATGTGGCCTGTCACTCAAGCTTCTCTTGTGTAAATGTGGCCAGTCACTCAAACTTATCTTGTGTAAATGTGGCCTGTCACTCAAGCTTCTCTTGTGTAAATGTGGCCAGTCACTCAAACTTATCTTGTGTAAATGTGGCCTGTCATTCAAGCTTATCTTGTGTAAATGTGGCCAGTCACTCAAGCTTCTCTTGTGTAAATGTGGCCAGTCACTCAAACTTATCTTGTGTAAATGTGACCAGTCACTCAAGTTTATCTTGTGTAAATGTGGCCAGTCACTCAGGCTTATCTTGTGTAAATGTGGCCAGTCACTCAAACTTATCTTGTGTAAATGTGGCCAGCCACTCAGGCCTATCTTGTGTAAATGTGGCCAGTCACTCAGGCCTATCGTGTAAATGTGGAAAGTAACTCAAGCTTATCTTGTGTAAATGTGGCCAGTCACTCAAGCTTCTCTTGTGTAAATGTGGCCAGTCACTCAAACTTCTCTTGTGTAAATGTGGCCAGTCACTCAAGCTTCTCTTGTGTAAATGTGGCCTGTCACTCAAGCTTCTCTTGTGTAAATGTGGCCAGTCACTCAAACTTATCTTGTGTAAATGTGGCCTGTCACTCAAGCTTCTCTTGTGTAAATGTGGCCAGTCACTCAAACTTATCTTGTGTAAATGTGGCCTGTCATTCAAGCTTATCTTGTGTAAATTTGGCCAGTCACTCAAGCTTCTCTTGTGTAAATGTGGCCTGTCACTCAAGCTTCTCTTGTGTAAATGTGGCCAGTCACTCAAACTTATCTTGTGTAAATGTGGCCTGTCACTCAAGCTTCTCTTGTGTAAATGTGGCCAGTCACTCAAACTTATCTTGTGTAAATGTGGCCTGTCATTCAAGCTTATCTTGTGTAAATGTGGCCAGTCACTCAAGCTTCTCTTGTGTAAATGTGGCCAGTCACTCAAACTTATCTTGTGTAAATGTGACCAGTCACTCATGTTTATCTTGTGTAAATGTGGCCAGTCACTCAGGCTTCTCTTGTGTAAATGTGGCCAGTCACTCAAACTTATCTTGTGTAAATGTGGCCAGCCACTCAGGCCTATCTTGTGTAAATGTGGCCAGTCACTCAGGCCTATCGTGTAAATGTGGAAAGTAACTCAAGCTTATCTTGTGTAAATTTGGCCAGTCACTCAAGCTTCTCTCATGTAAATTTGGCCAGTCACTCAGGCTTCTCTTGTGTAAATGTGGCCAGTCACTCAAACTTATCTTGTGTAAATGTGGCCAGCCACTCAGGCCTATCTTGTGTAAATGTGGCCAGTCACTCAGGCCTATCGTGTAAATGTGGAAAGTAACTCAAGCTTATCTTGTGTAAATTTGGCCAGTCACTCAAGCTTCTCTCATGTAAATTTGGCCAGTCACTCAAGCTTATCTTGTGTAAATGTAGCCAGTCACTCAGGCTTCTCTTGTGTAAATTGTGTCAGTCATTTATGCTTCTCTTGTGTAAATTTGGCTGGACATTCAGGCTTTTCTTGTGTAAATTTGGTCAGTCATTCAGGCTTCTCTTGGGTAAATGTGGCCGGTCACTCAAGCTTCTCTACTAAATTCAGCAGAACTGTTCCATAGAACAGATCACGACTGTCTGACAGCTTGCCAGACTTAGGGGTTGTGAATTCAGTTTTTAGAACAGATCACTACTGTCTGACAGCTTAGAAGGCTTAGGGATAGTGAACACAGTTTCACTGTCCCAATCTACCAGGATTCATAGTCAGCTGCACTGATTTCATAGTAGCCCTCTCTGCATTTACTTCGAAAGTAGGAGAGCTCAGACAAGGGGAGCAAACTACTGAATTTAGTGTTGCCTAATTAAAACCCACAGCAGCCAATCAATGCTGGGATTCATTTATGACATCATAAAGAGGACAAGCAACTAACTTTTTGTTGTTAATGAAACCGGTCATCTCCTTATGATATGCAATTTTTTGATTATTTGAAGCCCTACTCTGGCTCTTGCCAGGGGCCGCAGTATAGCCCGACCATAAATATGGTCTAATGGCTGAAAGTGGTTTCTGGGACCTCTTCATGGTGATCCTCATCCACATGGTGGCATTTTGTGTCACTGGGTGTTTATCGCTTGTATGATGTCCTAGTGGGGTAAAAATCTACTACTACTACTACTTTTTGTTTTTAAAAAGTCTATTATTCAGTGCAAGTGCTTGCTACATCACTTTTTATCTTCTCAGGCACCGTTTTTACTTGACTTATTCTGCTTCTAAACTCACATACATAGTTTATAGCTGTTTGTACGTATTTTATACATACAGATTGTGTTAAGTACACGCTGAAGCTGTTTCTGCAGATTTTCAAATCTGTGTTTTGTAGCTGTTTGTACAAATTTTGCTCTTCCATTTTCAGCAGGTTTCACACACAGAGATGCCAGACCAGACAGTCCATGAAGGAGAGCAACAGCCAGAGAATGATAAGATAGCACGAGCTATTCACCAGTTGCAGCTGAGAACAAAGGTGAGGTGTCCAGTTGCTACTACACATGTCTGTACGTGTTACATAGATTCTAATAGTAGTTTAAAAGTAAGTAAAGTTCCCTTTTCACGCCTTTCGGCGCATCGGGCATATGGGCAGAGCGTCCCATATTTTTACAGACCATCAGCACTCTGTGGGTAATGTGGTCAGCATTACGCCGGCTGTCTTTACTTTCCCAGGACAGCCCATCCTGGTACCCATTTTAGGCTGGGTCGACCTACGACGTCCCATACCACGATAAAAATCCACGCAGCCTGCAGTGGGTTTCGATCACGGTATGCTGGCTTACGATTACACAATATAAATTTATTGCAGTGAAATAATTTTCTTGTGTGACAATCTGTAAAGGTGCTGTGACAACCTGCAAGTCAAGTTTTACAGTCTTCAACTTTGCCTAAACAATGTAGTGCCTCTATCGCTCAAAATAATGTTAATATAATGAATAGATATGTACTGATTGCCAAATCAATCTATGCTTATTTATTCCTGTTTATTATATATATTTTCTACAGCCTGAAGAGTTCCCTGCCTGTTTATTTCCGTGTAAGTAAAGTAAAGGACCTTTTTCCCCTGCCTTTTAGGGGTACAGGGCATATAGGGCTAGACCTATATTTTTATAGACCTATCAGCACAAGATGAGTTATGTGGTCAACATCACGCTGGCCACCTTTACCTCCCAGGACTGCACCCGGTACCCACTCAAGGCTGGTTTGACCTGGGAGCCAAGGTCATTTTTGAAAAAAGTCCGGCTCCACTGGGAGCGAACCCACAACCTTCCGATCTGCGGCGGGCGTCTATCCGCTCGGCCGCGGCGACTCCCTTTATTTCCGTGTATTAACTCAAAATAAACAATGCAGCACTCAGACAGCCACTACAACTCAGAGTAAGCAAAGGATAACTCTAAAGTCTCCACAAAACAAGGCAGAGGAAAGAAGACTTTAGAGTGTCTTCAAATCTCAGTAGACGAAACAAGATTTTAAAGTGTCCCCTTGCAAATCACGGTAGACAAAGCAAGACTTTATAGTGTCCCAGTGACTCAGAATAGATGAAACATGACTTTAGAATGTCTCTACACCACAGAGTAGGTGAACAAACTCTTTTAGAATATCACTGCAGATTTGTAATGTCACTACAGATTGAACGATTTAAAACACAACTTTAAGGTACCTTTACCTTCACAGTTTTTGTGTTTTTCCACTCTAGTTAAGTATAATAATGAACTTATGCAAGACGTAAGCAATAGCACACAGAAAATCCTTACACCTACTCAACACACACACACTCACACACACCCACGCACGCGCATGCAAGCACGCGCACACGCACACACACGCACACACACAGAGAGGTATTAGGAGAAAGAGAAGAAGAAGATGAATAGGTTCTTCTTCTTCTTCGCATTCACCAGCTGTAAACTCTGGCGGAAGGTTCTGGTTGCTCGTCCACTACTGAACTGCAGTCCTGCTCCAGAAGCTGAGTGTTGCGTGTGCATCAGTTTTACAGATCTCATTCTCTTGAATACAGACTGTTGGTTCCTTGCCTCTCCGGCAGATGCACTCCGACTTCAAAGGAAGCTCCCCAATTAGTCGACTCTTACGACATGCTTTTGGGGAGGCAGTGGGTCTATTCTTGTTTTCCCCACAATGGGGCCCCGAAAACCACAAATCTCTGATGAATAGGTTGAACAAGGTGATTTAAAAGTTGTATATCATCAGATTGGAAAGAAAGAGGCTGTACAACCTCTCTGCATCCCAGACTAGAAGAGGAAAGTCAGAAGAGAACCCAAGAAGGATGTGTAGTGTATAAGGCTGACTCTTTGAGTATTGTACATTGTACCAATTGATTGTTTGTTTGTGTAAAACAGAGCACAGATAATGAGCTGAAGTCCTTGAAACAAAAACAGGAGTCATTTATCCTTAGCTTCAGTGACAGCCAGCGCATTAATGGTAACTGTCTGTCTGTGTGTGCACCTGTCTGTATGTACACCTGTCTGTGTGTGTACCTGTCTGAATGTACACCTAGAGCTTATAGCTATTGAGCAAATAAGAAGTTGGTTATATTGTCTCTTTTCTTGATCTCGAAGACAGCATAGCTGAGTTGAGTTGCGTCAAGAATTGACATAACAGCACTCGGGGCATTCCCATATGCGCTCTGGCACATTGTTATCTCTAGCACATTATTATCTCTGAAACTTTGTTATTGTTATCTCTGATACTTCATTATTGTTTTCTCTGGCACTTTATTATCTCTGGCACATTATTATCTCTGGCACATTTTTATCTCTGATGCTTTATTATAGTTATCTCAGGCACATTGTTATCTCTAGCACATTGGTCACACTCTGGTGCATCATTCTCTCCAGCGAATACACATTATATCTTTAGCTCTTCTGACTTTAGTTACTTGTTCCCAAGGGGCTCTGTTACCACATCTCTGGCCATTATTACCCTAGCAGCGATGCAGATCTCTGACACTTTGTTATCTTATCTCTGTTTATTTCCCACCACATTGTTGGCTCTAGAGAAAGGATTCAACACTTTATTATGTTATCTCTGGCCATGTGACCTTAGCTAATGAAGCTTGCCACTCTGCTCAAAGCAGTCCTGTCTTTACCATTTTCAAGCATGCTTTCAGAGTTCATTACAATTAGGACATGTGTATGCATCTTGTATCTGATAATCATAATGTGCAGCATACAGTCTCTAGCACATCATCCCTAGCACTTGCTATCCCTGTTATTTTTTATTCCTAGTGCAGCACCTGTTATCATTAGCACATTGTTGTCACAGACACTTTGTTATTTTTGGCACATTGTTATCTCTGATACTTTGTTATTGTTATCTCTGGCACATTGTTATCTCTGATACTTTGTTATTTTTATCTCTAATACTTTGTTGTTGTTATCTGTGGCCATTGTTATCTCTGGCACATTTTTATCTCCGATACTTTGTTATTGTTATCCCTGGCACATTGTTATCTCTGATACTTTGTTATTGTTATCTCTGGCACATTGTTATCAATGATACTTTGTTATTGTTATCTAATGTCAACCCCAGGCATGAGACAACAGTTGAGACAGACCATGAACAGTGAGTCGCCAGAGTTTAAACAGAAGGAAAACCAGCTGAAAAATGAGAAGGAACAGATAGAACAAAAGTTGGCAATCCTGGCAAATGAGCTTCTGAATCTGAGAATTGTAAGTAGAGTTGTTAAATTATCAATCTGAGAATTGTAAGTAGAGTTGTTAAATTATCAATCCGAGAATTGTAAGTAGAGTTGTTAAATTATCAATCTGAGAATAGTAAGTAGAGAGATGAGATTGTGTATATGAGAATTGTAGTTAGAGAGGTGAGATTGTGTAGATGAGAACTGTAGTTAGAGAGATGAGATTGTGTATATGAGAATTGTTATTAAAGAGATGACATTGTGTATATGAGAACTGCAATTAGAGAGATGACATTGTGTATATGAGAACTGCAATTAGAGAGATGACATTGTGTATATGAGAATTGTAATAAGAGAGATGAGAACTGTAGTTAGAGAGATGACATTGTGTATATGAGAATTGTAAGTAGAGAGATGAGAATTGTAATTAAAGAGATGAGAATTGTAATTAGAGAGATGAGATTGTGTATATGAGAATTGTAATTAGTGAGATGAGAATTGTAATTAGAGAGATGAGATTGTGTTTATGAGAATTGTAATTAGAGAGATGAGAATTGTAGTTAGAGAGATGACATTGTGTATATGAGAATTGTAATTAGAGAGATGAGATTGTGTATATGAGAATTGTAATTAGAGAGATGAGAATTGTAGTTAGAGAGATGAGATTGTTTATATGAGAATTGTAATTAGAGAGATGAGAATTGTAGTTAGAAATGCAAGCTTCTGATTCTGAGAATTGTTAATCGAGTTATTAAATGACATATCTGAAAATTATAGGCAGAGATTTGAGACTTTAGTGAGATTTCCAGTGTGCCATTTTCTTATGTTTATTGTAATAGAACTCAGCGTTAGATTTGAAAAATAGACAGTGGTTAACTAGACTGGATTATGAAGACAGTAACTGCCAACACCAAGAATGGAATTCAGTGGACCCCTACAAAACACCTTTAAGATCTAGACTTCGCTGATGATATTTCTCTTCTGTCCTATTCACGGAATCAGATGCAAAATAAATTAAATATACTTGGTGCGATATCACAGCAGCTAGGTGTGAAAATCTATAAAGGAAAGACAAAGATAATGACAATAAATCAGGCAAATAGTAATGTGGTTTCTCGTAATGGCTCCCCACTCCAAGACATGGAGTCGTACACCTATTTGGGCAGTAATGTAGATAAAGATGGGGGAACTGATAGAGATATTTAAAAAAAAAAATACAAAAGGCAAGAGGAGCTTTCATAGCACTAGGGAATTAGTGGAGGTCAAAAGAAATTAAAGGAAATACTAAACTTAAAATTTTTAATTCTAATGTCAAATCAGTACTTTTGTATGGGGTAGAAACATGGAGAACAACTAAGGCAATAAATAATAAACTACAGACATTCATTAACTGGTGCCTGCACAGAATAAAGGGATTTAAATGGTATGATAGAATAACTAATGTAGAGCTTTGGGCCAGAACTAAGCAAGCTCAAGTGGACCAAGAGGGGAAGAAAAGACGCTGGCATTGGATAGGGCACACATTGAGAAAACCAGAGAACAGCATAACTAGAATGTCTTTGCATTGGAACCCACTGGGGCATAGGAATAAAAGAAGGCAAAAACAACACATGGAGAAGAGAGCTGGAGAAAGAAGTTAGAAAGATGGGAAGGACATGGGGAGAGCTCCATGCAATAGCGAAGGATAGAATGACTTGGCGTTAGTTGGTTGAGGGCCTATGCTTCACTGGGAGATAAAAAGGCAGAAGAAGAACTCTGACATTAAAAATGTATGTTATATGATGGGATCATCTCGTATATCCCAGACGTTGGGACATATGTTGTCATAAATCACCTGGGAGAGAGAGAGGTGGATCACTGATGGACGTGCTGCAAGTAAATTGACATTGCTTGTGTTAACCTGTAGCACTTTAACACACACACACACACACATGTATCACAGGAGCTGTCCAGGAAGTATGAGCAAACAATCAGTGGTCTGCAAGAGCTACAGAAGGAAGTCTTGGACAATGAGCTCCTGTCTTGGAAGAGGCAACAGCAGCTTGCAGGCAATGGCCCCATCATGAGCAACTCTAGTCTGACAACCCTGCAACAGTGGTGAGTGCTCAAGTTTGTTATGTTGTGGGTAGATCAACCCTGGGGTGGTTATGGTGAGTGCTCAAGTTTGTTCTGTTGTGGGTATATCAACCCCAGGGTGGTTATGGCAAGTGCTCAAGTTTGTTCATTTGCTGGTAGATCAACCCTAGGGTGGTTATGGTGAGTGTTAAAGTTTGTTCTGTTGTGGGTAGATCAAAACTATGGTGGTTATGGCGAGTGCTCAAGTTTGTTCATTTGTTGGTAAATCAACCCTAGAGTGGTTAGGAGTGCTCAAGTTTGTTCAATTGTTGATAGATCAACCCTAGGTTGGTTATGGTGAGTGCTAAAGTTTGTTCTGTTGTGGGTAGTTCAAACCTAGGGTGATTATGGCAAGTGCTCAAGTTTGTTCATTTGTTGGATATATCAACCCTTTGGTGGTTATGGCGAGTGCTCAAGTTTGTTCATTTGTTGGTAGGTCAACTCTGCTGTGGTTTTGATGAGTGCTCAAGGTTGTTCAGTTGTTGGTAGATCAACCCTGGGGTGGGTTCGGTTGTTGGTAGATCAACCCTAGGGTGGTTATGGTGAGAGTGTGAATCCATTCAGTTGTTGGTTGAAATATCCTGGTTTGGCTATTCTCTTCATGTCTTCTATCCATCATCAGTGAGTGTTGGAAGTTTGTGTGCAAAGGATCACTTTGATTGTGCACAGATATCTCCATGTAAGTACTTTTTTTCCTTTCGTAGTAAACAGCAGGAGTTTTTTAGCAGAGCTCACAAAGGTTAGCACTGAAAGCCTCTACTGCCACTGGGATGTGGTGTGTTGAGCCTTCACATTGACCTTTCACCTTGAGACCTTGACCTTCAAAGTGGGGTCACCAGTTCCCTTCGTGGTAGCTTTTCCTTTCACTATAAGTCTCAGAAAAGTCTGAACATTGTGCATAATTATTTTTGATAGGCTGGGTTGAGTTAAGAGTGTTGTGGCTGGAAAACTCCACTGATAAAGACTTCAATCAAAATGTTTGGCTGTATTTGTGTGGGTCATTTCCAATTCCTTCCTTAACCCTTTGTCCTGAGAAGCCAAAAAATCGACACTACCAGTGGGACCCAGTTCCTTGTAAACGTCAATTGTCACACTTGTCTATTACTGGCTGAGTTCATGTTTGCTTAAACATTTAGAAGGTCAAGATATGAATACTAACAAAAGTATTTGAGAAAGAGGTAAGGGGGTTGTTCCATTTGATCTAAAGTGGATCTTTTAAAACCAGGTTGACTTAGATTTTCTCATAAACCTCCATGATAGAGGTCAAGGGGTCACAGCACGAATCATCCGATGCATGTGTATCTTGGTTTTATATCCCAGCGGATGAATTGTATTTAATTCTTCGCCCTTTACATTTTAATTAATTACCACTTTCATTTATCTTCATATATTTATAAAAATAGTCATAAAATATGTATAAGTACATTTTTAATGAATTTATTAGTGACCTCTGTAACAATTGTGTTTATGGATTTTTAAAAATTGAATTTCAACAGAGGTTCATGACCTACTTATTTTTTTTAGAGTTCCATGGGTGAAAAGGTTCAGCTTTCTGTTGACAGATTGTGTTGTGTTCATTACCACTTTAAAGTCATGAAGAAGTCTAAAAAGGGTTTGGCATGGATTCATTAAAGACAGTTGCCCATTTTTGAGTTACAAAGAATCGGAAGAACATGGATGATATTGCTAGTAGAAATTCTAAACTTCCATGCTTGAAAGTTGAGTGTCAGTAGAACAAGAATGAGTTTATGCTCTTGTGACTGTCTACAGGTGTGACACTCTGGCCGACATGATCTGGCAGAACCGCCAGCAGGTGAAGAAGCTGGCACAGCTACAGCAGCAGCTGCCTATCAAGGACCCCGAAGGCAGGGAGCAGCCCCTGCCCCGACTGAATGATGCCATCACCAATTTGCTATCATCTCTGGTTACCAGGTAGTCTCATACATCAAACGAATGGACAAACTTCTGGCTCTTTAGTTGTACATTTTGCTGAGCATTTGCAGCTGATAAATATGCTGTTCGTGCCAACTTTGTGCTGTCATTGCCAGTCATGGACAGTTGTAGAAACCCATAAATGCTGAATTACAACATGTGAAGTGAGATGTATAAGAAACATGGTGGAAAAAAAAACAGGAAGAGACAAAGCCACCAACAAAGAACTATGAGGAATGGTGGGCACATTACCAGTAAATCATTTGTATAGAACATCAAGGAATCAAATGGTTTGGTCATCTGGTCAGAATGGGACAAAATCAGCCAGTAGCTAGAGCGTACTACATGAGAACAGCAGGCTACAAGGCAAGAGGTAGACCAAGAAAGAGATAGGTAAATAGAGTAGAGGAGCCTAGCAAAAGACAGGAACTACATCTAACTCTTCTCTGTGATGTGTTACGGCATAAGCACTAGGGTGAAAGAAGAAGAATATCTTAACATGTATCAATATTACACATTCTCAGTAGGGAGTCGCTGTGGCCGAGCGGCTAGACGCTAGCCACGGATCGGAAGGACGTGGGTTTGTTCCCTGGCAGAGCCAGACTTTTTTCAAAAATGACTTTGGCTCCCAGGTCGACCCAGCCTTGAGTGGGTGCCGGGTGCAGTCCTGGGAAAGTAAAGGCAGCAGGCGTGATGCTGACCACATCACCCATCTTGTGCTGATTGGTCTATAAAAATATAGGTCTAGCCCTATATGCCCTATATACCTTAAAGGCGTGTAAAAGGGTCCTTTACTTTACTTTACTTTTACTTACACATTCTCAGTGTTTCTACAATCACTGAATCTTTTCAGCTAGAAATCTAACTGAATCTTCATATTTAAAAATCAAGATTTATGAGAAGAGTCCAATGTATATGTTCCATATTTTCATGATTTACCGTGCTTTCATGTATTCTACACTGTTGTATATTTACATAGGTTCATGTGATAAGTACTTTAATTTCCATTTTCCTGTAGCACTTTCGTGCGTTCCTAACTTTCATTTCTCCAATTACTGAGTATTCTCTGTGTAGTAGCACTTTCTATCAGTACCAGAGGTTCTTTTTTTTTTTTAAATTACTTTTTTATTACAGTACATTTGTGGTGGAGCAGCAACCGCCGCAAGTGCTGAAGAAAGATTCCAGGTTTAGCGCAGCTGTCAGTTTGTTGGTGGGAGGGAGACTCAATGTTCACATGAACCCACCACAGGTCAAGGTCACCATTATCAGGTAAGACTCAGTGTGCCTTTGTAAACAGCACAGCTTTGAAGCTGCTTGTGCATGAGTTATCTACCACTTATATTACAGTTTTGTAGCTAAGTTTTCCTGTCTTGTTAAACATACTGCTGTGTGAATCCTGGACAGTTATAAAAGTATTAAAAAAAGTAAAGATCCCTTTTCACGCCTAGGCACATCGGGTATATGGGAAGAGCGTCCCATATTTTTACAGACAAATCGGCACTGGATGGGTAATGTGGTCAGCATTATGCCGGCCGTCTTTGCTTTCCCAGGACAGCCATCCTGGTACCCATTTTAGGCTGGGTTGACCTGTGACGCCCCATACCATGATAAAAATTCCACGCAGCCAGCAGTGGGTTTCGATCGCGGTACGTTGGATTACGAGGTGGACTCGCAACACCTAAGCCACGGACACCGCTGGACAGTTATAGACAAACAGTTTCTTGAACCCTTGGAGATATTTATTTTACACAAGAATTCGTTGGACAGCTAAAAAAAAAAGAGCAACCCTGGTATTTTCAAAGAGGGGAGGGCTGAAAGACAACTAACTTGTTATAGAAATCAGAAAAAGATAGACATCATTTTTTGGGGGTCTGGTTATGAGAAGAGGGAAGTTGGAACATGTTGTTACCATTGGAAAGATCTGTGAGAACATGTTGTTACCATTGGAAAGATCTGTGGGAACATGTAGTTACCATTGGAAAGATCTGTGGGAACATGTTGTTACCATTGGAAAGATCTGTGGGAACATGTTGTTACCATTGGAAAGATCTGTGGGAACATGTTGTTACCATTGGAAAGATCTGTGGGAACATGTTGTTACCATTGGAAAGATCTGTGGGAACATGTTGTTACCATTGGAAAGATCTGTGGGAACATGATGTTACCATGTCTGTGGGAACATGTTGTACCATTGGAAAGATCTGTGGGAACATGTTGTTACCATTGGAAAGATCTGTGGGAACATGTTGTTACCATTGGAAAGATCTGTGGGAACATGTTGTTACCATTGGAAAGATCTGTGGGAACAGAGACAGATGAAGACAATGTGAGATGATTCTTGACACAAACTGATGCATGCTGGGGATTGTGGAAAGGCATGATCGACAACACCAGTTGGCTAGGCACTTGATGATGAGCCTGCTTGTGTGTTGATAAGGATCTCTGTAGAAACAATTGCTTCTCTGTTTGTTTCTTTGCTTTGATTTCTTAGTTTTTGTTTACAAGTTGTTACATTGTTTGTTCTTAGTGAGCACCAGGCCAACGATTTGTTGAAGCCAAAAAGTGACTTCAAGACAAAAGACTGTTCTAGTGGAGAAATTCTCAACAACACTGGAACCATGGAATATCAGGCCAACAGTGGCCATCTTGGCATCACCTTCCGGAATATGGTACAGCCATGTTTTACACTACAAGATGTTTGTGTTTAACTCTGTAGGGGCCAGGGCCTTGTTTCCACATCTGGAAGCTTATTGGATACATACCCAGTGTTTGTTTTTGCCACTTGTACTACCCAGAACAATTCATGACACAGATTTTAGGTTAGGGTGACCTGAGAGTTTATTCAGCTGAAATAATGCCATGTTTTATGGTGGATAACTCTGGATATTTTATTTGCGTACACAGTTAAAGAGTTACATAATGTCTCCTACCAGTACATTATCTCTCTACACGAATACAGTGAAGAATTACATAACTTTCAGCAATGTATTATCTCTATACATATACAGCAAAGAGTTACATAACTTTCCCCAGCAGTACATTATCACTGTATGCCTATAGTGGAATAGTTACATAACTAACAGTACATTATCACTATATGCCTACAGTGGAAGAGTTTCATAATTTTCACCAACAGTACATTATCTCTATACATATACAGTAGAAAAGTTACCTAACTTTTACCAACAGTACATTATCTCTTTATGTATACTGTAGAAGAATTACATAACTTTCACCAACAGTACATTATCTCTATATGTATACAGTAGAAAAATTACATAAATTTCACCAACAGTACATTATCTCTATATGTATACAGTAGAAGAATTACATAACTTTCACCAACAGTACATTATCTCTGTACATATACAGTAGAAAAATTACATAACTTTCACCAACAATACATTATCTCTTTATGTATACTGTAGAAGAATTACATAACTTTCACCAACAGTACATTATCTCTATTTGTTACAGTAGAAAAATTACATAACTTTCACCAACAGTACATTATCTCTGTATGTATACAGTCGAATAGTTACATAACTTTCACCAACAGTACATTATATATTTGTCTTGTCCATAAAGATGATGATGACAACTCTTTTTCATCAAGTATGAGTACGACGATGACTAGATGAAATAGTGACTTGCATGGTAACTTGGATTAAAGTGAGGAAGAGTAGCACAGTGTCGTCGACCTTACTCTCTCACCTGAGTCAAATCTGGGTCCAGTGACAAGACAGAGTCAAGACGACTGGAGACATTATATTTATATCTCTGTATCAACCTCTGAATCCTCAAGATGTCTTGATGTTGGTACTGGAGCTTTACATTTATATTGGTATCATTATTTATTATTTTATATGAAACTGAAGATTAATGTGTCAGTGTTTTAAATGATTATTTTTATTGAAGAGAAACTGAAATCTTTCTGTTTCAGCAACTGAAAAAGATCAAGAGAGCTGACAAGAAAGGCTCGGAGGTTTGTTGCCAAGTTATAATATTCGTTTTTTCTTAATCTGAATAATTATTGAAATGAGCAAGGTTTTTTTTTTTCTTGTTATCTTCTGTCCTTCTTTCTCTTCTATTTAAGTATATTTGTCGGTATGTAAATTTAATAATTCACTGCAGTTGTTGAATTATGATTGCATAGATCAGTTAAAATTTAAAATCAAGAAGATTAACTTGTTTGCATCAGATCTATATTGTTGTTATTGATCCCGCAGCGCATGAGCTTTGACCCAGGTGCAACAGATCTATAACACAGATCTTTAACTCAGATCTTTAACTCAGATCTATAAAACAGCTTTATAACACTGATCTATAACTCAGATCTGTAACACAGATCTATAACACAGATCACAGAAAAATTGAACTGAATGTCATGAAATGAACCCACGACCTTCAGAAGGCGAGGCAAATGGCTCAACCACCACGAAGACCTCTGAGTAGATCAGTATTGTATGCATATATTTATCTCTTGTAAAAAATAAAATGTCGATTGAAGGAACAAGGATGTTAAAGCGCTATAAATAGACTGGTTATATTTGTGCCGTTGAGACATGGACAGTCAAGCAGGCAAGTTGAAAAACATTTACCTGCAGCAGAGGTGTGTTGTTTAGAAGAATTCGAGGGATAAAGCACATAAAAGAATTATAGAAAAAACAGATAAGGCAAAAATTGATGGAAAAAAGAGCAAGAGGGAGGCAAAAAGATAAATACCTAAATGACTTTACAATGTGAACAGGTTGACTCAAGAACACTGACCTGATCTATAATTCTGGTGACTGTGTGGGATGTCGAAAAATTAAAGCCAGCACTAATCAGCATGGTACATGGTGATGTTTTATCTCTATATAAATGTTTCAGAAATGTGACTGTTGGACTGTTCCAATGTGATTTCGTAGATCTGTGTTACAGATCTCTGCTATAGATCTGTGTTATCAGATCTGTTTTATAGATCTGTGGTATAGAACTTTTTTATAGATCTGTGTTATAGATCTGTTTTATAGATCTGTGTTATAGATATGTTTTATAGATCTGTGTTATAGATATGTTTTATAGATCTGTGTTATAGATATGTTTTATAGATCTGTGTTATAGATATGTTTTATAGATCTGTGTTATAGATACATATTTATCTCTACAGTCTGTGACGGAAGAGAAGTTCTGCTTGTTGTTCCAGTCAGAATTCAGTCTCGGAGGCAACGAGTTAGTCTTTCAGGTTTGGGTAAGTTCACTTTTCTCCCTGCTTCTTATGTTATGGGTAATGTTTTTTTTTTTTTTTTTTTTTTCACAGAACTTATTGAATGCTAGCTTTGCCAACAAACCTGGCAGACAAAAGAGCAAGCAGCACTCCAGGGATTATGCCAGAAATCCAAATCAGTAATTACAGACAATAGATTGGGTCCTATTGTAGAATACCTGTAAATAAAGAGGCTAACAGATTAGGGCAGGAAGGGGGATGCCTGTCAGCCTTAGATGGAGAAGACACTTGCTGAAGCAAAGAGGTAGGAATCAGGGCATCCTTGCCATTAGGAAGATGAGGCATATTCCCAGCCCGCCCAAACTGAACAAAGAGCAATCTTTAGACCCCACACAAAACATAACAAGCTGAAACATTTGCTCCTTTAATTCAATAATAATAAGGGGCACTGATGGATGTAACTTAAGATAATATAACAGGAGCAAAAATGTTTGCTACAAGATTGTCCAACATGTACACAACAAAGACAGTAATAGAATCTTGGCCCTACTTTCAAGGATAGTCTTTGGTTTTTTTCTTATAGTAGAATGGATGTAACCTTGTGACTTCCCTCAGACATACCTGCTCTTAGAAGACATCCACCTGTTGTCAGATCTGCATGAAGTAGGCAGTTATTAGTGTGAATGCTTGATTGCTGTAAAGTTTCAGGAGATGTGATCATTTAGAGAATGATTATGTAGTGAAATATGAATTTAAAATAACATTAGAAGACACAATTGACAGGCCAGAAATACAAATTATGGGTGTTATCACAGTTTGCAGTTTCATTATCGACAAAAATGAAACTCGTAGCAGTGTTTCCGTGTTGTGAATTTGAACAAACAAGGAGGTGAAGCAGCATTAACTTTTGTCTGCATAAGCATTGCAAAATACTAACAACTCAATAAACACCATTCAGGTCACTTGTTAAAAAGATCACTCGTTGTCCGCCAAATGCCACTCTTTAAATTCTGGTCACATTGTAAAGAAGGACAATGTATTTCAAATTCTTTACACCTCAGATAACTGCAGATTGCTTCGCTACATAGAAGCCATGATGATAAACTAGTTCAGTCCAGAATTATGCAGACAGATGGAAATGCTTGCTCACCAGTGTTTGCCCTGCTGAAAGAGGCAGTCACTTTTGAGTTTGGTTAATTGTGTTTCAGTTGTAAGGATTCATTTATTTGCTTCATTTAATCAATTGTTACTGTAGTATGCACCTGATGAGATACAGCAAAGTATATCAGGCAGCAAATTGCGCAGTCTTTGTGTGTGTATGTGTGTGTGTTTTCTTTGCTCAAAGACGTAATCATCACTAAAGTGTGCCTCGTTCCTCAGACATTGTCCCTGCCAGTTGTGGTAACCGTCCATGGTAACCAGGAATGTAATGCCACTGCCACAGTTCTCTGGGACAATGCTTTTGCTGAACCGGTAAGTCTTGTAGTCGGCCGGTCATGCTGAGTGGAAGCCTTGAATGTCTGGTGCACATATAGTTTGAGAGGTAAGTTGTAATTAAAGGTAAAGTCGGGAGATGTGAACCAGCGTCATTGCACACGGTTATAAACCATAAGTGTTCTGCCACCAGTACGGGCAGCTGATAAGAATTGTCCGCCTGGGTCGCCGTTCGCATGTAATGCTGTAGCTACAGCGACGTCCCTCCATTTACCCCAGAGTGTCAACTCTGGTACCCATTTCCTAGAGGCTGGGTGAGCCCTGGGAGCCGCCCTGTTTCGAACACCGACCATGGGCTGCAGTTAGTTGCAGTTGGATTTGAAAGCGAGCCTCTTATCGACTGCGCTAACGCAGCTCCCTAGTTGTAATTGTGCATGTAGAGTGATGGGTGGTGATTGTGCATGTCTAGTGCCCATGTAGTTATGGGTGAGTGGTAATGTTGCATGTATAAAGTTGCAACACGTGGTCTCTACAATGCTGCCCAGACTTTGTGATGTGGAGAGGAGGGACTTGAGCCCTGTCTTGAACTGGTCTCACTATGAACTGTGTTCCCCCCACCCCCTTTACTATCACACAATGGAACACTTTCATCTGGAAGAAGGAAAGGGGCCAACTACACTATAAAGCACAAGTGTAGATCTTTGTCTGTCTCAGTTGATTCCTTCGTTAGAATGTGTATATTGGATTATTTGTTCCTCTCCCCTCTACAGATCCATGCTGTTCTTCACTAATTTCTATTACAAGTTTTTTAGAAATTCTACTGAGATCTGTGAAATTTTTAAAGCTTGCAGTGATCGTGGCTAATGTTAATATTAATTCATTTGTGTTTGTTTCCCGGCAGGAGCGCTTGCCCTTTGCGGTGCCTGATAAAGTGGAGTGGAATTTTCTAGCTGACCAACTGAACCTCAAGTTTTCCTACAGTACCGGCAGAGGTTTAAACCAAGCCAGCCTGACTTACCTGGCATCAAAACTGTTTGGTGAATTTCTTTGTCTTGGGTGTTTCAAGAATCAGTTTACTCTACAGATTTTTTAGAACATCATTATCTTCATTTATGACCAATTGGTTGAGGACCTTTGCTCCATTTGGGAGATGAAAAATAAAAGAAGAAGAAGAAGAAGATTGAGTCACAGCACTTGAGACACATTAAAAAGTGATCATTCTCCCTCATGTCAGATATTATGGATACATCTTGTTCCTTCCTGCTGGTTGCCAGATTGGTTCCCTGAACCCATCAGTTGTAGACACACATGGTTATAAAGTTTTTTCCTCGTGCAGCATGTTTAAGTTTGAGGTTAGACGGCGAATAAACATCATGGCATATGGGTAGTAACCCATAAGTGCTCCGTTCTATTTCTGACTCAAGCCAAAATTAACCTTGTGATCCTAGCATGCCCTGGCCAGCAAAGTTTCTTCATTTCCTGCAGATGTAGTGACATTCATCATCATCATCATCATGCTGATAAGTGTAGGCTGTCATGTTTTGCTATCTTACACAATCACCAGAATCATGGACCTGTTCAGTTTTTTCGTCTCACCACATCTATCTGGCTAGGTGTGTAGGTATTTATCTCTTTGCCTTCGTCTTGCTCTCTTTCCATCAATCTTGCCAGTTATTACCGAATTTAGAGTTCACTCCTTTTCATAAAAATCTTCACAACAAACAGACTGTCTGCGTTTGCTAATAAATTTACGACTTGTGCAGTGTGCTCTGCGGGGGGTTTGATTTAACTCGTCACATTGCTATAATGACGTTCTTAGGTACACACAGTTGCTAAGAATACACTAGACGACAAGCATTCAGTTACTGATCTTTATTCGCTGTTACAACAACCGCACTGTTCATGCGCTCCTTGTCAACTGTCTCACAGGGTGATTCTCTCTGCCATTACCTTTCGGATCATACATCTGGATTACACTAATGTATTGTTCCTGGTACTTGTACACAGTTGAAACTTGCAATTAGGAAAAATTTATTTCTGCTCTCGAACAAGTACACGTGGTCAGACGTTCTGCATTCTCATCAGTTGTTCTCTCGCATTCGACCGCACACATCCAAGTCCGAACTTCAACTGCCTTCCTACCCTCTCTGGGTTCACATCTTCCGTTCCAGTCTCACGCTTTCCTCGTATCCCTCATTCACTTACCACGGGATACTCGAGACCTACTTATCTCACTTTCCACTTGTTTCACTGGTCCTCTGACCTTGTCCCCCCAATCGGGAACTCTTTGGGATTTCCCCGGGAATTCACAACATTACAACTTGCATCTGTCTCTATGAGGACTACTTTGTTTGTTTTTCTATTCTTCCATGATATTGATTTCTTTCAGAAACCACATCTCTCCCATGAGTAAATTTTTTTTCTCCATCTTATCTGCTTATTGTCCATGTTTGACATGTGTGCAACAGCACAGGTTCTACAAAGCACATTAACCCTTTTTTTCCCACCACAGTTGACATCTAAGGTGAACACAGTTTTTTTCAATGACATCATCATCTTCATAGTTTAGCAAGTCCTTTGTCGAATGTCCATTCCACAGCAGACTGCTGTGAAACCTTTACTGATCCCCCCTGCCTCTGCTTACACGAACCGTGCTGTTGGCTAGAGTTCTGTCTAAACCAGCATTTAATATGGCTGAAGTGTTCAGTACCAGGATGGGCTGTCCTGGGAAAGTAAAGACAGCCGGCGTAATGCTGACCACATTACCCACACAGTGCTGATGGTCTGTAAAAATATGGGACACTCTGCCCATATGCCCGATGCGCCGAAAGGCGTGAAAAGGGATCTTTACTTTACTTTACTTACTATTTGAACATCACAGACTCATAAATAAGCATCATGTATTCATTTATTATTTTACAAATTCACTGATTTATGTGTATTTATAATTTATTTAGGAAATAATGATCCTTCCACCTGCAAGATTTCTTGGGCTCAGTTCAATAAGGTATGTTGTCTGTCATTTATTTTATTCAGATTTAATTTAAAATTAATTTTATTAGTCTTTCCCCATCTTCTCTGAACTGGTAAGTCTGGGTGGGCTGATCTTACGTAGCCACTGCACTACAGCAGCTCCCAAATCAGATATGGTGTTGTCTTATTGTTACAGTTCAGGCAGCACATGAGGGATGATGTGTTCAATAATGTGCTGGCCGCCTTTACTTACCAGATCTTTTCCTGGTTCTCCTTTAAGGCTAGAGAGAGCTGTAAGCTTATGTCAGATTTGAAAAGACTTCCAGTCTTGGAACACAAAACAACTTACAGGAACACCTAGCCACACTTACAGGAACACATAGCCACACTTACAGGAACACATAGCCACACCTACAGGAACACCTAGCCACACTCACAGGAACACCTAGCCACACTTACAGGAACACATAGCCACACTTACAGGAACACCTAGCCACACTTACAGGAACACATAGCCACACTTACAGGAACACATAGCCACACTTACAGGAACACCTAGCCACACTTACAGGAACAGATAGCCACACTTACAGGAACACCTAACCACACTTACTGGAACACATAGCCACACTTACAGGAACACAGCCACACTTACAGGAACACCTAGCCACACTTACAGGAACAGATAGCCACACTTACAGGAACACCTAGCCACACTTACAGGAACACATAGCCACACTTACAGGAACAGATAGCCACACTTATTGGAACAGATAGCCACACTTACAGGAACACCTAGCCACACTTACAGGAACACACAGCCACACTTACAGGAACAGATAGCCACACTTACAGGAACACATAGCCACACTTACAGGAACACATAACCACACTTACAGGAACACATAGCCACACTTACAGGAAAACCTAGCCACACTTACAGGAACACCTAGCCACACTTACAGGAACACATAGCCACACTTACAGGAACACATAGCCACACTTACAGGAACAGATAGCCACACTTACAGAAACACATAGCCACACTTACAGGAACACCTAGCCACACTTACAGGAACACCTAGCCACACTTACAGGAACACAAAGCCACACTTACAGGAACAGAAAACCACACTTACAGGAACACCTATCCGCACACAACCCACGTTGCAGTAATATTTTAACAACAGCTTTGTGACTCTCCCACAGGATACCCTATCAAACAGGTCATTCACCTTCTGGGAATGGTTCTACGCAATCCTTAAACTGACCAAGGAACATTTGAAGGATTTATGGATGGATGAGTAAGTTCCTTTTGTCCCTGGTTGTCCACATTTTAAATTAGTTCTTAAATAAAGCTTATGTAATAGTATCTTTTCCTTCTGTCTATCTCTAGGTCTCTCTCTCTCTCTCTCTCTGTCTCACTCCCTCTCTCTTTGCCTCACTGCCTGTCACTGTACTTCTTATTCTCTCAGTCATTATATTGTTCGCCCCATCCACACATGCACACACGCATACACTGTGGTGAAAGTTTTGGGTTCAAACATCCCATCATGAAATCCTGACATTTGAGTTTCTCCTGCACAGCGCCATCATGGGTTTCGTCGGCAAGAATGAGGCACAGAGTCTGCTCAGTGGACAACCTTACGGCACTTTCTTGTTGCGCTTCAGCGACTCTGAAATTGGTGGTATCACCATTGCTTGGACAGGTAACGCATGATTGCTTATTGTCTGTCAAGTTAATTACAAAGGTTTCTTTCTCTTTTATTTTTTTCCGGTTCTGTTTTTTTTTTTTCATTGGCAGCCTAGGGCACACATCATAAGCAAGTAAATAAAAGTTCACATTGAGAGCATGCATCTTTGCTGTGGCAACATGCGGATGGGAGTTAAGGAGCGGTTTGCAGTCACTAAAGAGGAAAATAACAGTATAAACCAAAATGTTGCTGAAAAAGTCTTAAGCTGGAGACCATGAGAAAGAAAAATGTAATGAACTATTATAACTTTTTAAAGAAACTGGAACATGTGATGACTGCCTGGAAAAATTTGGGGGGAAAAGACACAGAGGAAGACAACGGGAGAAGATTCTTGACAGTCTTCTGTCATGGCATGGATGGGAGTAAGCATGTGAACTGATACATGCTGTTGAAGACTGTGAGTTGTTTCTGTCATGGCATGGATGGGAGTAAGCATGTGAACTGATACATGCTGTTGAAGACTGTAAGTTGTTTCTGTCATGGCATGGATGGGAGTAAGCATGTGAACTGATACATGCTGTTGAAGACTGTAAGTTGTTTCTGTCATGGCATGGATGGGAGTAAGCATGTGAACTGATACATGCTGTTGAAGACTGTAAGTTGTGGAGAGGCATGGTCACCCATGACATTCAGTAAGGCACTTGAAATAATTTAAATATAATAGCATTGTTTTATGAAAGGATCATTTGATCTGCATATCTAAAAGTTCAGAAAGTGAATTTCTCCATTTATGAACGTGTTAAAAAAAAAATGAAAAGGCTGTTTTAATCATTTGTGCCATTTCTTATATTTCCCCTGTTAACTTTGAAGAATTAAATGAAGGCAACACACCCTGTCTTACTCCCCTTTGCACATCAGACAAGTTAAATATTTCACCAGCTACTCTGACAGCTGCTTATTACTGTTTGATAGTCATTAAATTAAATGTAACCCATATATAAAGAGCATTGAGAAAGTTTATTTTTTTCTGAATTGATATAGGCTCCCAGGTGGACCCAGCCTAACATGGGTACAAGATTATATCCAAGGAAGTAAAGGCGGCCGGTATAATGTTGATCACATCACGTATCAAGTGCCAGTTGGTCTGTAAAAACATAGGTCTAGCGCTGTAGACCTCATGCGCCAGAAGAAAGGAAACGAGTCCTTGGATACTTACATGACACACAGAGAGTTAATGAACCTGTGTCTTCACGTACATGAAATGTTGGGGGATGTATTTACAGGTGAAAAGGATGTTCTCAACCTGGCTCCTTTCACTGCCAAAGACTTCAACATCCGAGGATTAGCTGACAGAATCCGGGACTTGAACTCTCTGGTCAGTTTGTATCCAAACAGAGGCAAAGACCTGGTCTTCTCCAAATACTACACACCAGCTGATGGTAAGTGTGCTAGCCACTGGGCCACTTTCTCATAGAATATATGGAAGCACTGGGCCAACTTTCTCATAGAATATACGGGAGCACTGGGCCAACTTTCTCATAGAATATGTGGGAGTACTGGGCTAACTCTCTCATAGAATATGTGGGGGCACTATTTAACCTTGTCACTTTCTAATGGAATGTCTGGGGGGCATTCTTTAACTGTGTTTCACTAATGTAATTTGTGGGGCACTGTTTAAGTACGTTTCACTTTCCATTAGAATGTGTGGAGGCACTGTTTATTAATTATGTTACACCTTCAATTAAAATGTGTTGAGGGCTGTTTAACTATGTGTTACTTTCCATTAGAATTTGTGCGGATACTGTTTAACTATGTGTTACTTTCCATTAGAATTTGTGCGGGTACTGTTTAACTATGTGTTACTTTCCATTATAATTTGTGCGGGTTCTGTTCAACTATGTGTCACTTTCCATTAGAATGTGTACAAGTACTGTTTAACTATGTGTCACTTTCCATTAGAATGTGTGCAGGTACTGTTTAACTATGTGTCACTTTCCATTAGAATGTGTGCAGGTACTGTTTAACTATGTGTCACCTTCCATTAGAATGTGTGCAGGTACTGTTTAACTATGTGTCACTTTCCATTAGAATGTGTGCAGGTCCTGTTTAACTATGTGTCACTTTCCATTAGAATGTGTGCAGGTCCTGTTTAACTATGTGTCACTTTCCATTAGAATGTGTGCAGGTCCTGTTTAACTATGTGTCACTTTCCATTAGAATGTGTGCAAGTATTGTTTAACTATGTGTCACTTTCCATTAGAATGTGTGCAGGTCCTGTTTAACTATGTATCACTTTCCATTAGAATTTGTGCGGGTACTGTTTAACTATGTGTCACTTTCCATTAGAATTTGTGCGGGTACTGTTTAACTATGTGTCACTTTCCATTAGAATTGTGCGGGTACTGTTTAACTATGTGTCACTTTCCATTAGAATGTGTGTGGGTACTGTTTAACTATGTGTCACTTTGCATTAGAATTTGTGCAGGTACTGTTTAACTGTCCGCTCTGTGGCTAAGTCGATGCGAACGCTTCACTTCGTAATGCTAGGATGCCAGGTTCAATCCCAGCTGCGGGCAATGCGCCTTGCGTTGATTTCGACAATGGTATCAAGAAAGCTGACTGTCCAGAAAGCAATGGCAAACTACTGAATGTAAATTGCCTAAAAAACCACACAACAGCCAGGGGCTGTTAGGGTTGGTTCTGCAACATCCTGTAAAGGATACGCAACTAACTTTAACTGTTTAACTATGTGTCACTTTCCATTAGAATTTGTGCGGGTACTGTTTAATTATATGTCACTTTCCATTAGAATGTGTGCAGGTCCTGTTTAACTATGTGTCACTTTCCATAAGAATGTGTGCGGGTACTGTTTAACTGTGTCACTTTCCATTAGAATGTGTGCAGGTACTGTTTAACTATGTGTCACTTTCCATTATAATTTATGCCTGTACTGTTTAACTATGTGTCACTTTTCATTAGAATGTGTGTGGGTATTGTTTAACTATGTATTACTTTCTAGTGGTATGTGTGGATTGCAATTTCTGACTGTTCTTTAGGCTGACAGTGCATTAAAGGGACTTGATTTCAGTCACAGGAAGACATTTTAACATCAATGGCCAGTGTGCAGAGGTAATGAACCACAGGGCAAGGTGCCTCTACCTAAGCGGCAAGTAACCAACAATCTGCACACAAAATAGCCAGATCTGTAAAATAGATATGCACACAACAATGAAGTTCTAAAACACGTCTAAAGTGCAGAGGCGGACGAACAACCAGAACTTGTTCACCTGTTTACAGCTGGTGAAAGTGAAGAAGAAGAAAATGTTTGCTAAGCTGAAATCCATTGCCAGAAGAATGCTGGCCAGAATTGCTTCCAACAATGGAGGTACCACTGAGAGCAATGTGTGCAGTCTCAAGGAGACTGCTTCAGAGGATTAGAACTTCAGCTGCCAGGTGCATCGTTGTATTTTTCCTCACCACACATCACATATAAAAAAAATATATATATATATGGTTAGTTGTGTATCCTTTACAGGATGTTGCAGGACCAAATTTACGTCCAATAGTTTGCCATTGCTTTCTGGACGGTCAGCTTTCTTGATACCACTGTTGAAGCCAACGCAAGGCGCATGGCCTGCAGCTGGGATCGAACCCGGCATTACGAAGCAATGCCAGAGCCTGACTTAGTGTAAAGTCAGAGCCCTACATATATTTATATATTATTGAAGACAACAATTCTAAGTATATATTTATAATATATATATATGTATATATATAAATAAGACTATATTGCGGCCCCTATATATAAAAAAAAAAGGACGGGACCGTATATATATATATATATAATTGTAGATATATATACATGGAAATACACACAGAATGATCACCTCTATAGATGGAGTGGCTTGTAAAGTCACACATTGGTTGCTGCTGTCTACATGTTTTTAATGGCTTCTTTGTATTGAGGGATACAATCTATATCATCTGCAGAAAAAATGGATCCCAGAGGTTATGTCTGCCCTGTATTGAAGACAACAATTCCTAAGTAAGTCTGTTGTCTTTTGTTTATTTTCTTTACAACAGGATGATGTTGACTGACTGACTGACATTCTACCCCACCAGGACATCACACAAGCGATAAACACCCGATGACACAATGTGCCACCAGGCGGGTGAGGATCACTGTGGAGAGGTCCCAGAAACCACGGTTCAGCTTTTAGGCCATATTTATGACCAGACTATATTGCGGCCCCTGGCAAGAGCCAGAGTAGGGCTTCAAATAACGAAAAAAAAAGGACGGGAAGTATATAGCGAATAGATTATGTTGATGAATCTTAATATTTGTAATTGTATTTGATAATTGCGGATATTTGTGACATGAATGCTTGATACACACAGAATGATCACCTCTAATAGATGGAGTGGCTTTATTGTCCAGACCTTGTGAGTGGAAATAGGAGCAGATATGAATGATACAGTCCGTAAATAATTACTTGTGTGACTATACACAGTAACACCTTCTTTTTTGAAAAATGACCTGCAAATCTTCTCAGGGAAAAGATAAATGGAATTCAAGAGTCCATTATTTCTGGGATTCCCTCAACGTATCTGAGGGATTTCCATCAATCATGATCATTTGTGAAGTAAGGTTCCTTACAAATTTACGTTGCACTCTCGTCACGGCACACTTGAAAGTCTTTCTGATTCTGTTTTGCTTTAAGCACAATATTTTTGGTCTCTGTTCTGAGTGCCACATATTGTTTTATTTTTTCTATTTCTTCAGCTGTGTTTCCTGGCTGCCAGGTATTGCTTCATGCCCTTTTCTTTTCTCTCCTATTTTCATTTGACTTCTTCTGTCCACCAAGGTGTCCTGTGTCCCGCCTTCCCTTTGGACTTTCACCACATGCTTCTACTTGCAGCTGCTGTGAGGATATTCTTGAATCTGCACCAGAGGGTTTCAGTGTCCTCTGATGATTCTTCTTTACAGTTCCTATGCTTTCACTATAAGCTCCTGGTATCTAGCCCTTAATATCTGGCTCTCTTAGCTTGTATGCTTTAAATCCTCATCCCTTCTTGGTTTGCTTGGTTTCTTACATGGTTGTCGGTGTTGCCTTGTTGGAGCAGTTCTTTCAGTTGTTCTCTTTATTGTTGACTAGATAGTGGTCACTTCCAATCTCTGTCCTCTCATGACTCTGGCATCTCTCACAAACTTGAATGAACTTTTCCTAACTATGGCGTAGTCAATGATGGATTTTTCATTCTTTGAAGGTTCACATCTTGTGTATGCATGTATACGCTTGTGGGGGAATTTTGTGTTTTGTAATGACAAGGTTCTGTTCCTGCAGAATCTGAGAAGTCTCTTGCCATTATCATTCAAAACATCTTCACCATATCTCCCGATCACTCCACCCCATCTAGAGTGATCATTTCCTACTCTGGCATTTAGATCTCCTAGGAGGATAATTTCATCGTGACAGTCATCTATGGTCCTTTGGAGCAGTTCAAAGAATTCTTCTTTAAACATCTACTCGCTCATCTTCATTTGGCCCGTACACAATGACAAAATTGACAATTTTATCTTCTTCTTTTCAGATCTAACACCATTATTCGCTCTGAGATGAATTTCCCATCCCTTTGATGTTACTAACTTGATTCCTGCCACAATACAGGCCAACATACAGCAAACACTCCCTTGCCTCTTCTTCCGTCATAGGGACACCACTGTAGATCAGCATACTTCCATGGTGATCTGTGATTCCTTGTTTTTCTTGGTTCAGTTCAGAGCCAAGACTCCTTGAGCCTTCCTCATCTCCCCTACTAACTCGTTTTCCTTTCCCGTTAATTCCTCTTATATTCCATGTTCCATAAATCGTAGTCCGTAAGCCATGCCAGTTCGTCGCCGTTAAGATCCGTCCGGTTTTCTCTCTATAGTTACTTGTAATCGTGGTTTAAGGCAAACAGGTGATTGGCCTGTTGTACCTTTGCATGGTGGAGGGGCTGCCTCCTTGCGGCCTCCGTGCAGGCCGTCTGGCTGATTCACGGTTACCCACTACTTCCGGAGACGCATGAAGCACTCAGGTTCAGCCAGACCCTCCTCCTTTTACAGCCGGGCTTGGGACCGGTCTTAGCGGAGTTGCCAATACATCTTCCATATATTTTATCCACTTTTGCAGAAATTGGCTTCTGCCTCATTACCTAGAAATTGGTTTACCAAGCCAACATGATGTTTGACATGTTCAAAATACTTTAGTTTTTTGGGACAGGATGCTGTTTATGAGCCAGTTCTTTTCAATGTTCAGATCATTTAGGATGTTGATGGTTTCCTTCTGTTTTTTTTTTTTTTTTACTGTATTCTAAGAATTATTCTGTAACATTTCAGTTCAAAAGAGTTGATTCGTTTTTGTTAAGTTATTGAGTAGGAGTTGAGACTCGTGAAGTACATGAACCTCATGGCAGAACTCTCCATAGCTCTGGCAAGCCCAAGTTTCAGCTTGACCACTCCGTGAAGTGAACCACCAAGACCCAGCTTGACCAACCAAAAAAAAAAAACTTGGATGGACTAACAGTCAGAGAGGGTGTATATCCATGATGAAAGACAGAACAATGTTGGAGATCCATTCCAGCCAGCCTTCATTGTGGAAACAACACCTGCCTGATCATTTGGATAGGATCAGAAATCTAGTGAAGGACTGTCAGGAACTATAAGAGACCAATCTGTTTGACAGCTGGGAGAGACTAGGCGTATGTGAATATATTCTTAGAATATTTCAGAACTAAGGGAAGTCATATTAGGGCATTAGCCACTGCCCACCAAACTGATGGTAAAAAGTTTAAATCTCTCTCTTACTTGCTGTGTGACTGTTGAAACTGACAGCAACTTACTGACATTCAAATGTTGTTTTTTATTTAAAGGCAGTTTAACAGTCCAGGTGATGTTGAAATAAAACAGCCATTCTCCCAAGAGTATGTGTATGACAGCAACCTCAACTCTGTACAGAGTATGGAAGAGTGAGTACCCCTGCAAGACTCTTGTTTGTCTAGTTTGAAACACTGAATAATGTTACAATTATGAATTGCTTGAAACAACAAGAGACGCAAGTATACGTGTATTGACTGGCACTGACAGTCAACGACAGAAGAAGGTTAGAAGCTGCACCACACACACACAAATGGTTTCCTTCAGATGTTCTCCAAAACTTGTTCAGTGGAAAACAGAATGAACAGGAGCTGAAGCCACATACTGCTTGTGTTGCAGTGAAAGCCCAGCTGTCAGGTCAGTCATAGCCTTAGTAAACATTTTCATTGATTATGGACAAGAGGCTGCAATAGACACCAGACACAAGATAAAGGCTATTTTGAAGTAAAAGTAAGTAAAGGACCCATTTCCACGCCTTTAGGCATATAGGGCTAGAGCTATATTTTTATAGACCAAATGGCACAGAATGGGTGATGTGGTCAGCATCACGCTGGCCGCCTTTACTTTCCCAGGACTGCACCCGGTACCCACTCAAGGCTGGGTCGACCTGGAAGCCAAGGTCATTTTTTTAAAAAGTCCGGCTCTGCCAGGGAGCGAACCCACGACCTTCCGATCCGCGGCAAGTGTCTAGCCGCTCGGTCACTTCCAAAGGCTATTTTAGACAGTAGAAAGTCATGATAGACTGAAATAACTGGAGCATATTGAGAGAATGTCAGACACAGGGAGTTAAAAACTGTATACACAAGGGAGCTGAACGGTCATAGGCCAAGAGGACAATGGAGAGATAATATCTAGACAGACCTATAACACTTTGGGTCACCAACTGGAAAGAGAAGGCCAAGCAAAGAGATGAATAGAGCCGGTTAACATTTGCAGCAGTGAACCTCAAGGTCTCGAAATGTCAATCATAGAAGATCAGAAAGTACATGGCAGCTTCTGCCCTGTTGTATCCCCTCGATCCATTTGTTTTAAAAATCCTTTCTCATACACAGAATTCATGGAGTATTTATAAATTGTTGCGTATGATTCCATTCCACAGGATACCGTTCATGTATTCGACTGAGTCACCGGAGGAATTTGTTGACATGGATGACTGTTTGAACATGCTCACTGATTACATGCCCAACGACATTGACGAAGTCAATGATATTAATATTGAACAGCTGATTGAAAGCCATAATTGTACTGGCTAGCAAGATTTTTATGTGTATTTATCTTTATTTGCTGTTTATTATTTAGATAATTGTGCTGCAACCATATCATCAAACTTGATTAATGTTGGATTCTGTCATCATGTTTAGACACAGTCGGTCAGTTATGAATACTTGGGGATTCAGAGTTTTATCTCTGAAGTCTGGTGCGTTGTGGTCTGTTTTCCCAAGCCCTGACAAGAATTAACATCTGATTGACATGCACTAGGGTAGAGACTTTTCTCTCAAGCCAACACCAGAGTACCATCCACGTAGGGGCTATCGCAGAAATGTCCCTCCTGTTTCGAAACTGTCATACATTTTGTTTAAAACCCTATCTTCAGACTAGTGGCTGCACAAGCCATGCTATCTGAAATCCTCAGGCTGAAAATACTCCCACTGTAGACTTCATTAAACTATCACCTCCAGAAGGCAAAATCTAGCCACTTCTGGCTGTGACAGTAGTGTATATGTCAGTATGGTGACCATGTCTGCAGTGATCTGTTCTCAAAAAGCTGAATTCTATCAGTCATATGTGGCAGTGTTTAACAGGCTAAGATATGAATATAGTAACTAAAAATAGCATTTAGGTGGGTTTCCTCATGATCTCAATAATCCTTTTTTGGAAGGTCAAGTTGGTGTCAAATGTTTCCATAAGTCTCAGTGATAGAGGTCACAGGATACGTCACCTGATACATTTCGGCTTTTTTCAACTTCCTTGGGAATGTATTCTTGTTAATGCTTCACTCTGTTCATGTTTATTGATTATCCTTTTAAATATCTTAATTTATTTCAAAACTAAATAATTTGTTTCAATTGGATTAGTAACCTGTATAATATGGTATTTTTTTAAACGTTTGAACAGTTATTCTTCCGCAAATTTCTAGTTTCATGATCCATTTATTTTAGCATTCATGGGCGAAAATTTTAAAATGGGTTAAATACAGGCCGAAAAAAGTGTGTTGAACAGGCCCATGAACATTGTTTATGCTGAATAACTGACCTGTTTATGTGTGTATATATAAATATCCTAATTCTTATACGTGGCATTATAAACTGTTTTGTATGAAATATTTGTGCACTTGTTTGCTACAGAATTTATGTTGTTGTTATCGATCCAGCGGCGCATGAGCTTTCGCCCTTTGGCCCAATGCCCCACAGAATTTATCAAAGGAAACCAAAAAAATTTTTCCCAAGATGTTATTGTTACCGGTGATGTAAATTGTTTTATTTATTTCTGACACTGATTTATTGGTGAATTGTGTGAAAGACAAAACAGTTTTGACTCTGCACGCTCAGTATTGAAGTCATTTGTGAGCTTTGATGAGGGCTAACATCTATTGAGAGGCAGTTTGTGTAGATATTGTCTTCCTGACCAGGTACTGAAGCACATCTTCACAGGGACTGTGTTCGGGAGGGAATAAAAGGTAGTGGGAGGCAGGATAGTACAACTTCACATTGCAGAGACACATATTGGGATGTAGTCAGGTAAAGGCATTAAGAACAGCCTTACAGAATGAACATCAGTTTTAACTGTGCTCTTGACAGAGCTCACCAGCGAGTGTTACATCTCTCCCTGACACTTCGATGAGGTACAAGGTGGAAGAGAAGAAGAAGTCAGGTAAAGATTGAGCATAGCACCTACAGACTGGTTGGGATTGGACCTGGGTGGGTCCTGTTTCTCAACACATTTTAAGAAGTATTTTATTGTCTGCAGGCTCCAACTCATTGTCTGTATAAATTGTTTTCTTCATGCCATATTCTTTTTCTTTTACACATCAGTCAAAACGCAGTGTAAGCCAATTATTTGGCGTTTTCAAACACAAATAATCCCCTGTCATTGATACTAGATTAGATATTAATTGAGGTAACCATTTATCTTACTCATAACTGGTTATCGAGAGTTCGCTCCCAGGAGGAACCCAACTTTTTTTCAAAATGACCTTGGCTCCCAGATCGACCTAACCTTGAGTGGGTACCGGGTGCAGTCCTGGGAAGTAGAGGTGGTCAGCGTGATGCTGACCACATCATTCATCTTGTGCATATTGGTCTATAAAAATATAGGTCTAGCCCTATATGCCTAAAGGTGTGGAAAAAGGTCCTTTACTTTTTACTTTTTTTTTAACTGGTTCTTTTTCCTGAGATAGGAATGGTGAGATTGTGTGACCAGGTGTGGCAGTGTTTTGCCAGGACAGCCAGGTGTGACAAATGGACCTTTGACTTCTTTCAATAACCTTAGTGCTGACCAGCTAACACAAGTATGGGACTCACTTATAGAAGTGTCCACCAATAAAATGTTAAAATTACTGTATGTTTCTTGTGTTATTTCTCCTTGTTTTTGGATTCCTCTTCGTCACTTTCACCAGCTGTTAACTTTGACAGGAAGTTCTGGTTGCTTATCCACTTCTGGACTCGTCTTGTTCCAAGACTTGAGTTTTATGTGCACATCCATTTTACAGACCTGGCTTAGTTTTATGCAGACTGTTGGTTCTTTGCCTCTCAGGCAGACGCACTCTGACTTTGAAGGAAATCTGACATTAGTCAACTCTTATGACATGCTTGTTAGGGAGGCAATGGGTCTCTTCTCATCATGGGGCCCCACAACTCACAGGAGAAGTCTTGGATTCCATGAAAGTGTATTGCCTGTTTCCTTCTAGTGTTATATTTGGTATTATCTTGAATGTAAGCATTATTTCAGTTTATGTTCCTGGTAACACCATCTTAACTTGGCACAAGCAAACTACCACAGATGTTTCAAAGAAGGCTGCAAACAAAAAGCGTTCGCTCTGAGAGCATAAAAGATTCAAATAACTATAGGAACAATACTCAGGCCCGTATTTAGGATCTATATGACGAACTTGTGCACTTATTTATTTTGTGCCCTTTCTTTATATATTAACATTTTTACTGCAAGTTATATTTTTCCGCCCTTTGCAGCTTCACATGTTGCACCTGTCTAAATAGGGCCCTGAAAATAAAGTTAGTCAACAGTCAGGGAGCCAGTGGCACATCAGGTATAAAATGTGAGGTTCGTCAGACCAACCGCCCTTAATGGCACACAAAACTCAAATTCTGGAACAAGACCAGAGTCCAGAAGTGGAGGAACAATTTGAACTTTCCATCAGAGTTTAAAGCCAGTCAACACCAAGGAGAACACATGCTACTAGTCGTTTTCTTGTACAAAACGATCCATACTCAGTGGATGATGAGAAAGATCCACACTCAGTGGATGATGAGAAAGATCGGCACTCAGTGGATGATGAGAAAGATCGGCACTCAGTGGATGATGAGAAAGATCGGCACTCAGTGGATGATGAGAAAGATCGGCACTCAGTGGATGATGAGAAAGATCGGCACTCAGTGGATGATGAGAAAGATCGGCACTCAGTGAATGATGAGAAAGATCCTCACTCAGTGGATGATGAGAAAGATCCTCACTCAGTGGATGATGAGAAAGATCGGCACTTAGTGAATGATGAGAAAGATCGGCACTCAGTGGATGATGAGAAAGATCCTCACTCAATGGATGATGAGAAAGATCCTCACTCAATGGATGATGAGAAAGATCCTCACTCAATGGATGATGAGAAAGATTTGCACTCAGTGGATGATGAGAAAGAACGGCACTCAGTGAATGATGAGAAAGATCGGCACTCAGTGGATGATGAGAAAGATCGGCACTCAGTGGATGATGAGAAAGATCGGCACTCAGTGGATGATGAGAAACATCCGCACTCAGTGGATGATGAGAAAGATTTGCACTCAGTGAATGATGAGAAAGAACGGCACTCAGTGAATGATGAGAAAGATCGGCACTCAGTGGATGATGAGAAAGATCGGCACTCAGTGGATGATGAGAAACATCCGCACTCAGTGGATGATGAAAGAGATCGGCACTCAGTGGATGATTTCAATACCAGGCTGGCCACCATTACTTCGCACATTGCAGCCTTCATCATTGAATTACTTAGCTTTTCAGTTAGTCAGAGGTTATGTCACCAAAAGAAGGCAATGAATACACAAATTCACCTCATGTAACCTCTCTTATGTAGAAAGTACAGTTTGAAATCATTTCCAGTGAAACTTGTATAAAAGACACAACGATTGCACTCAATAAGCAACGCTTGTATTCACTTATTTTAAAGCATAAATTTTATGTCTTTGGGCATCATATGCTTTATATTTGTTTTCACATTAACACACATGTTCATGCTCACACCTTCACAAAGTCTGGCAGATGTTACATCGCTCTAGACATCGTTGAGTCAGTGTACAATTTCACAAACAAAATGACATTGTTCCAGCTGCTGTCTATGTCCGTGTCTTCAATCAAATACAAATGAAACTTCATGACCACCTGCATAATTCTTCAGAAATGGTCCGTCATTACAAATGTATCTTATTCCACACTATGTCTGGTTATTTAGAAAGGGTCATTTTTCATGAAATGTATTTGCATCTATTTAGAAATGGTCAGGTTTGGATCAGCTTTCCTGTCTTCTTCTACAAAATGGAGGCGGATTTTTTCCTCAAAATCAAAATAAGTGAGCAGTTCTTCCTGCTTCTGAATGTCCTTCACCTGTTGCTTCATCTCTTCAATTCTTGCCTGTTTCTTGTACTCTGCAATCTGTTTTTCAAGTTCTTCCCTCCGTTCTTCTTCCCACCGAGAAAACAAATTTTCTTGAGTTGTTATCTCTGGTTGCTCTAACTTGTTCACACTGGATGTCACCAACTCAGTCACTACTTTGCTCAAGTCAAAGTCTGCTTTGACCTTTCCTTGAGAAGCCAACTGTTCTTTAACCTGAGAAAACTCTGTCAGGAATTCAGCCTTTTCATCTGTGGTTGGCAACCTGCGGTGTATTACATCATCGATTGTTCTCAATGCCAGTTCAACCTCCGGCTCATTTGGGTCTCGAGCCTCAACTTGTTCTAATCTCGCTGCAAAGTAATCTAATGACTGCTGAGAAACCGAACGATCTGCAGAACTCAAAACATCTTTCAGTAACCCCAAACCTTTTGTGAATTGATGATAAAGACCACTGCCAACAATTTTCAAGTTGTTGCGGAGATCTGTGGATAAATCTATGCTCTGGACATTGCCCAGCATGTAGAGAGTCTTGCCCAGCAGAAACCGCTCATCTTTGATGTCAAAGTGGTCGTCATAGTAAGGAAATGTGATATATCGCACCTTGACCCAATTCTCTTCCCCGTCCGATTGTTCCTTAGGAGGTGGGGCCAAGTCATCGATATTTGCAGAGACCAAGTGATGGACTGAAGCATACAGTGACAAAAGTGTGTTGACGGGGTTGGAGAAGTCTTCCTGTATCATGGAGTGGTAGGAGACTTTGGCTGCATTGTGGTAGTCCCCTTGTTTGATGAAATGATCCATGAGTAGGTTCAGGGAATAGTAATTGGGAAACAAGCCATAAGTTAAACGATTACCAAGGAGAGTGACGAGACGACTTCCATTGTGGATGCCGAGGAACCCTCTGATGATGGCGTGGTTAGTGCAGTCATTGCGAGGGTAAATCGACGGGCACACATTGAACCTGTTAAACAATTAAAAAAATTAAAAAAAGATTACCAAGTTCAACAGTAAACTGTGTATCGGTTACTTGCCTATGTTAAAATAGTACACACTTGCAAAACTAACTTTCATCAGATAAATGATTGTCTTTTGTGCCAGTGATAAAGCAGACAGCTGAAAAATATCACCACAGCTGCAACAGATGGAGGCTATGGAGACATCAGACAGGGAAATTTGATGTGGATGGGTTGGTCAAGTAATAAAGAAATGGTCTGTAGTAGAAACAATTAAAACATGGCCCATGTCTGACAACAGCATGCTGCCATACAGAAAACACAAGAACTCCAAATGTTTACCTGTGTTTGAGAAATCTTGTCAATAGTGTTGATTCACTGCTAGACACAGTCTCTTTATTTTGTGTCAACAGTCACCAATATAATTAACTATTGAGCCAAGATGTCAGCAAAGAAGTCATTCTTCTTCTTCTTGTTAGCATTCACTGGCTGTAAACTCTTTTGGAAATTTATGGTTGTTCATCCATATCTGGACCTTGTCTGATCTTATTCCAGAACTTGAGTTTTGGGTACCCATCCATTTTACAGATCTGCAGACTGCTGGTTCCTTGCCTCTCATGCAGATGAGCTCCGATTTCAAAGGAAGCCCTTAATTAGTTGACTCTTACGATGTGCTTGTTAGGGGAACAGTTGCTCTATTTCCACCTCCCCTCCCCCACCATAATCGAACACAGGAACCCAAACCGGGTAGAAGTCACTCAAAAGTGGCAACTATGAAGCAGAGGCTGTTGCAATAAGACCTGCCAATGTATTGCTCAATCAGCAGTTCCACCTTGTGGAACACTAACTATATGATAATTACCTGCCCCAAGACTAGGGAAGACACCCCCTATGAAAGCAAAGACATCTCTCTAAATGGAAGAGCAGTCCCTAGCTATAACACGACAGTAGATTAACCGTCACAGAGACTTTATGGGAAGTGACAAGGATGAGACTTGTTAAAGAGGTAGATGCCGAGCAGCTGTCAGCTGTCATTACAGAATAAGAATGGTCCAAGAGATTCTCAAAAACAACACCAGAAAAGACTTCCCGAGCAGACAGCCAAAGGGACTAATGGGACACGTGACTTAAGTAGCACAACACAGGGCATATTTTTTGGAATCAAGCAGCCACCCAAATCACGCCAATACCTGCCATGCAGCCATTGTCTTCCTCTGTTCTGCCCTTTGACACCCAAAAGAGCAGCATATTTCAACATTTTCTAGCATAATCCACCCCCCCCCCCCCCCCCCACCCCCTAAAAAAATATAAGTATGATTAAAGATTAAAAAGAGGACAAGATAAAATCTACTACTACTAACAAGAGCTTGGAGAAAAACATTCACATAAATCAAAATCTGTTAGATCTACAAAAAGCAACTAACCACATCACACCATGTCCTATGATTTACTCGTGTATACAAATGACTCCATATCCTCTCCATTTTTTCTTCACTTTAATTTCAAATTCCCTTCTCTGTGTGTGTGTGTGTCTGGTCTGACATTATTGACATTTTTATGAAGCAACTGACCTCCTTATCAAGTGCTGTGCAGTTTCAAGCATCAGCTAAATGCCGTCTCCAATAGTTACAAACATGTGATGGCTATATGCAGCAGCTGCTGAGAACCTGCCCCAGCTGTCACAACAACTTTGCTGCTCTGGAATTTTTAAACAAAACATACTTTACACAAATCTAATCCAGAAAAAAAAAACACCCAGCATACCTGGCCAGAATGTCCTCAAAGAGATCAATCTCCTCATCATCCATCTTGTTCAGCTGATGAGCTAGGACATTAAGGTCAACAGCAGAGGCACTTCCGGTCTTCTCCAGCTGGTTGAAGATCTGACGGGAGAAGTCGATGGGGGCCTCCTGAAACTGAATAATGATGAACACTTGTTTTAGTTGAAACTTCATGACCACCTGTATTATTCTTCAGAATTGAATGCTAAATTAGGAATTGATATCACAGAACCCGGGACACCCCAATAAGTGCTCCGCCCCAATCTTCAGCAGCAAGCAAAGAGTTCCAATTCTGATGGCATCAGTAACTTTATGATTGTATATCCTTCTCGCCTTTTCCCTGAGTCTTGAGCAGTGGCCAGATTCCCTGGTAACTCCTCACAGTGCCACTCTCCCCAGACTGTAATGATCTATTTGTGCCTCCGCACTGTTCAATCATTCCCAAAGAGCCCTCATAACATCCAGCTTGTCACACATCAGTTCACCACCAGAAATGGAGGAGCAGGAGTGTACAGTGAGCATTCAAATAATACCAGGTATACAGCCAAAATACCTACATGAAAGCACTGGCACAAATATGGTGCAGAAGTTCAAGCCGTCAAGATAGCAGCAGAGAAACTATTAAATACAGGTCATATTTCACAACCCATGGTATTTCTGGCAGATGCAAGAGTGGTGCTTCAGGCACTCCAATCTGGAAAACTACCTGGTATATGAACACTTCTCTCCAAACTAGGCAGCAGGTGTAAGGTAACTATGCATTGGATACTATCCCACTGTGGGTTCCTGGAAAGGAAAGAGCTGATAAACTAGCTAAATAAGGTGCCAATGAAGAACAACCTGACGTACCAGTCTCTGATCAACAAAAGAAGAGAATAATCAAATCAATCAGAAAGCCACCAAAACCATCACAAGACGATAACCATTTTATGGACAGACCAGAGCAAGTTAATATTCTTCGCCTTAGAACAGGACACAATCGACTTCGCAGCCACATGTACACAAATTTAAAATCAGTGAATCAGCCATGAGCACATGTGGACTAGGACCTGAGACAACAGATGTCCTCCAAGACTGTCCCAAATACAACATTTCAAAGGCAAAACTTTTGGCCAAGAGAAACACCAGTGCAAGTCAAACTTTACAGGTCGCTGATTGAATTACAAAAGACAGTGAAGTTCATACTAGAGACAACACTGCAGATATATATAATGTATTTCAAGTGAACAAAAGAAAAAGAAGTATATCACCAAAAGGTGCAGAACCAGTCTATTTGCTTGCTCACTTCTCAACACACCGGCATGCCCTGGAGAAAATATCCAAAGGATGCTTACTACCAGGGACCTCTGAAATGATGCTTGCCACTCTGCTGCACAGAACAGGCCTGTCTCCACCTTTCTCAACATGCTCTGTAAGTCAGTTACAATCACGGCATGAGTGTACAGCTGATTCTCAAGCCAGCGGAAGGCAGCAGAGACTGCCTCCACCTCCATTCTTAAACTAGACGTGATATCATATGTCAGGCTTTGCTGCACCAACCAAGCAACGTCCATTTGCTTTTGCTATAAACCACTATGCACTTCGTCTGCCCCTTACCACAGAGCTATCTGTACAGATAATCACATCACCTGGGCAGGAATTGTCATAAATCATTTGTTGAACTTCTGATTCTGCAGCACCAGCTGGCCAGTCCCTGCACTCACAACTCAAATTGATAAGAACCCTACACAAGTCTGAAACTAGCTCGGACACTGACCCACTCCTTCTCCTCACTTAAATTTATCGAGCCTGCACACGTCCAATTGTGTCTTCAGTTTGAGCCATCCAAGACTTTCCTTTTTTTTTTCAGTCTGTGACCCTTAGCTCTACCCAGGGCTTCATGCAGGAGGTGCTTTTTGTCTGCAGCTACTCTGAGATATGACTTTGCTTGCAGAACATGGAGCCAATATGCAATAGTAGGCAGTGCAAGTATAATAATTGTAGAATTCAGAATTATATCCCCCTCTAGGGACTGCAGCCTGATACTTTAAATCCCAGTGACTCAAAAGAGCCACTTTTCAGATGTCAATCCAACAGGCACAAATCCCATGTCCTCATTCAACAGCACAAAATAAATAGGGCACCCCATGGTTACAATGTAACCAGCCGTCCTGGTCTACAAAACTTCAGGTCCTGTACTATATCCCCAATGGCCTGGAAATGGGTCCTTTATTGGTGCAACAGGCAAACAAGGCCATCACTGATGCAACAGGCAAACAAGGCCATCACTAATGCAACAGGCAAACAAGGCCATCACTGGTGCAACAGGCAAACAAGGCCATCACTGGTGCAACAGGCAAACAAGGCCATCACTGGTGCAACAAGCAAGCAAGGCCACCATTGGTGCAACAAGCAAACAAGGCCATCACTGGTGCAACAAGCAAACAAGGCCATCACTGGTGCAACAGGCAAACAAGGCCATCACTGGTGCAACAGGCAAACAAGGCCATCACTGATGCAACAGGCAAACAAGGCCATCACTGGTGCAACAGGCAAACAAGGCCATCACTGATGCAACAGACAAACAAGGCCATCACTGATGCAACAGGCAAACAAGGCCATCACTGATGCAACAGGCAAACAAGGCCATCACTGGTGCAACAGGCAAACAAGGCCATCACTGGTGCAACAGGCAAACAAGGCCATGACTGGTGCAACAGGCAAACAAGGCCATCACTGGTGCAACAGGCAAACAAGGCCATGACTGGTGCAACAGGCAAACAAGGCTATTACTGGTGCAACAGGCAAACAAGGCCATCACTGGTGCAACAAGCAAACAAGGCTATTACTGGTGCATCAGGCAAACAAGGCCATCACTGGTGCAACAAGCAAACAAGGCCATTACTGATGCAACAGGCAAACAAGGCCATCACTGGTGCAACAGGCAAACAAGGCCATGACTGGTGCATCAGGCAAACAAGGCCATCACTCGTTCAACAGGCAAACAAGGCCATCACTGGTGCAACAGGCAAACAAGGCCATCACTGATGCAACAGGCAAACAAGGCCATCACTGGTGCAACAGGCAAACAAGGCCATCACTGGTGCAACAGGCAAACAAGGCCATCACTGATGCATCAGGCAAACAAGGCCATCACTGATGCAACAGGCAAACAAGGCCATCACTGGTGCAACAGGCAAACAAGGCCATCACTGGTGCAACAGGCAAACAAGGCCATCACTGGTGCAACAGGCAAACAAGGCCATGACTGGTGCAGCAAGCAAACAAGGCCATCACTGGTGCAACAAGCAAACAAGGCCATCACTGATGCAATAGGCAAACAAGGCCATGACTGGTGCAACAGGCAAATAAGGCCATCACTAATGCAATAGGCAAACAAGGCCATGACTGGTGCAACAGGCAAACAAAGCCATCACTGGTGCAACAAGCAAACAATGCCATCACTGGTGCAACAAGCAAACAAGGCCATCACTGGTGCAACAAGCAAACAAGGCTATTACTGGTGCAACAGGCAAACAAGGCCATCACTGGTGTAACAGGCAAACAAGGCCATCACTGATGCAACAGGCAAACAAGGCTATCATTGATGCAACAGGCAAACAAGGCAATCACTGGTGCATCAGGCAAACAAGGCCACCACTGGTGCAACAGGCAAACAAGGCCATCACTGATGCAACAGGCAAACAAGGCTATCATTGATGCAACAGGCAAACAAGGCAATCACTGGTGCATCAGGCAAACAAGGCCACCACTGGTGCAACAGGCAAACAAGGCCATCACTGGTGCAACAAGCAAACAAGGCCATCACTGATGCAACAGGCAAACAAGGCCATCACTGGTGCAACAGGCAAACAAGGCAATCACTGGTGCAACAGGCAAATAAGGCCATCACTGGTACAACAGGCAAACAAGACTAGACTCATATTTTCATAGACGAATTGGCTATCGATGGGTGATAAGGTCAACACTACGCCGGCCACCTTTGCTTCCAAGGAATTTACCTAGTATCTATTTGAAAGCTGGGTTGACTTGGAAGCCAAGGTCATGTATGAAGAAATCCAGCTCTATTCATATCTGAACACACAACCTTCGGACACTTTGGCAAGTGTCTAGCCGATACACCATGGAGACTGGTATATTTCACTAATAATAATTATTCACTAACTATATACATATGAAACAAACAAGGAAAGAAAGACAGACTAATAACTTAAATGCATTTTGTTAGGACAGTGGTAGGAAAACTCATTAGTCAAAAGAACCAAAAATCAGAAGCAGGATAATACAAATTTTTTAAGAGCCAAATTTCTTTTCAAGAACCACGTTTTTCAGAGTCAACAACTGATTTGTGGCCGATGGCCAAGCCGCACTCAGGTCGCTAAAGAGCTGTGATTTGCCCACCACTGTATTAATGCTAAGAATCTTTTTCTTTCTCTGGTTCATCAGTTTTGTATGGTCTAGTCTTTGCTTGTGAAGGATCTTTTTTTTTTTAAATATTTTTTTTATATTTCTGAGAGAGTACTACATGTAGTATTTCAAAATAAATTAGCATTAGCACTGTAGGGGACACACCCACCTGTGGCTGTCAGTTAATGTAAATTTATAATAAACGAATTTTCATTATGCGTGGAGTGGAGGAGTCACATACTATTTGAATATTTGATGACGAAAATCTGTCTCCCCCTACTTTAGATGTCTCTAGTGAGTCTACTCCTGAGTCTCTAAGAAAACAGATTTGGGCACTCCTTCCAACGCGACCCTAGGTAGAATTGTAATCTATTGCACTGTCTGACATTTGTTTACAGTGACTGTAAGGGAGACAATCCATAGTTTGTGGATGTTCAAATAACATGATAAAGATGTTCTGATATATTGGGTTAGCCCTAACTTTAATCCTAATCTCAAACAATAATAAATAAGAAAGAATGTTATTATTATGCGAACCTACCAAAAAAAAATGGATGACATCCCCGACAGTCAGAAGCACTTAAAGTAATGTCAAATTACAATAGATGGTTGAAAAAAAAAATGTGGGATGCAATTTTTTTTATTTGAAGCCCCACCATGGCTTTTGCCGGGGGCGCTGAAATATATCCGGGGCACAAATATGGGCCCTCCTTCGATCTGCCCCCCCCTTTCCCCGATATTATGACGGCCGAACAAATACCCTAACAGGTCCTCAGCAAAAAATGCGGAGTTCCTGCTTGAGGAACAAATCGAGACAAAAAACTAGGATCCGCTCCAAATAACGCGCCAATATTATTGAGGGCAAACAAATGCTCTAATAATAACAGGGTCTCAGCAATATGCTAATTGCGGACCTGTTTCTGCAACTACGCCGCACCGCCGACAGTATCCCCCGTGCCACTACGCGTGGTGCGAAACTAGATGCCTGGGACTCACGAGCAGCAGCTACCGCATCTTCTGCAACTTCCTCCAATTTATTTGCTCGTGAATACCAGGCATCTAGTTTAGATCCCCTCATCCATGCCGCACGTAGCGGTGCAGGGGATACTGTCGACAGTGAATTTAACCACGTTTTGCGCATGCCAAAAAGGGTGAGGACAACAACGACGCTTAATCTGTGTCACAGCGCGTGGTCTCCCTGCCATGTCGCTATTATAGTCTGTAATGTTGCGTGTCAATGGCTGTTTACCGCTCTACCTATGTACCAGTCCTGACCTATGGGTGTGAGTCATGGGCAATGACAACAGCTCACAGAAGCCAGCTGCAGGCCTCGGAAATGAGATACCTGAGAAAGGTGGTCCAAGTGACAAGAAGGGACAAAGTCCGCAATCAGACAATACGTCAAGATCTTGATACCCAGCCCTTACTAACCCGAGTGGATCAGTCACAGTTACGATGGTTTGGACATGTGTGCAGAATGGGAGAAAATCGGCCACCAGGCAAGCATGGGAGGCTAAGAACCAGGGAACCAGACCTCCGGTACGACCCAGGGTGCGCTGGGAAGACAACATCAGACAGTCCCTGACTGACAGAGGACTGGAATGGAACAAAGCCAGAAAGAAAACTGCTGATAGAGACGTCTGGCGATCTCTCTGGCAAACCTCTACACCCCAAGGTAGAAGAGGAGCGACTAAGTAAGTAAGTAAGTAAGTAAGTAATGTTGCGTGTCTCGAATTGTCAATGGTCCGTTGTCAACCGGACCGTTGACAATTGTGAGCGTTTCTGCAGACGGTAATAGTAATAGTAATAGCGTCTGCTAGTATTGTCTGCAGAAACGCTCACAATTGTCAACGGTCTGGTCGCTATTATTGTCTGCAGTGTTGCTAGGTACTTCAGTCAAATTTTTAAAATGCCCTCTACACCAATAAAACCAGCACAGTTAGATAGCTGTAAACAATCTCTTTCCAATGGTACCTCATTTAGGCTTGTATGTCATTTCTGAGCTGAGATATGTAGGTTTTTGTGGAGATGAGATGTAAGAAACAGCCGCTAAAACTTGTGACCCAGAAACAAGAAGTTTTTCACTGCGCAACCTACTGCGCAGTTCTGTATCGGCTTTGTTGACATTGGACTGTCATTGGACAAGATGGCAGGCAGTGAGACTCAGCTCACTCAGCCGCATGCGATTGCCTAAAAAATGTCACTGTAAATCTAAACAGCCAGAGTCGGGAAAAAAAATTTAATATGCAAATGTAAAATTGGACGGAGAATTCAATTGTAACTAGCATTACCACAACTGGTAATGTTTAAGCCTAAAGCCAACCTCAAATTTACCGCTATTTTCAATCAAACTGATAGACTAACAGAAAAACAGAGAATGTCCGGCTGTCGTAGACATGCGCTGTTAATCGGGTTCCTTCCCGCCGTTTTCAGCTATTTAGAGTGGGTGAAAATCACACCAATGGCAAAATTTCATGAGAGATTAGGACCCATCCCGAAACCCCAGCCGACATTTCCGAAACAAGTTTTAAACGGTTTCTATGGTAACGGAAATTGTCGAAAAGATAGCAAATTTCCGAAACTGTAGTCGCTAGTGTTGCCTTTCTTGAAATTGTCAAGTAATCCTAGTTTTGCCACGATGTGTTCTTTGGAGGAAGTCTGCATTTTACACACAACTGAGGCCCTGTTAGGGTATTTGTTTGGCCGCCATAATATTGGGAGAGGGGGGAGATCGAAGAAGAGCCCAAAATATGGGCTACCCATAGATTTGGCCAACCGGCTGAAAGGGGTTTTAGGACCTCTCCACTGGTTATCCAAATCCGCATGGTGGCACTTTGTGTCACCGGGGGTTTATCGCCTGTGTGATATCCTGGTAGGGTCACAACTACCTACAATAGTTTGCGTAACCCTTGGAACGCCGTTCGAAATTAATAATAATTATACTACACTACAGTGTTCGACACTGTTACTAAACTCAAACTGTTTATTGAATCCTGAATTGAATAGAAATCATAAATGTGGAAATATTTATTTCGTTTACCTGCTTCAAAGTCGGACTTTGTAAATATCTGTCCCATGCCTCGTTGCAGGAATATGCTTCTGACAGCAAATATCGTCTAGACGACGATGAGAAGACAGCATGCCGCGATAACCTTAAACATCTCCAGGTTGAACGCAACAACCTTAAGGGCGTCGCCATCTTGAGCCGTTAATTCCGTAAGCACGGCTGCCGGCCTAATGTGATGTTTTATTCTATTGATCATCATCATCATCATCAGGTGACTTGCCGACTGGCGTGGGCAATCATGCCTCTCTATAATCTGCGATCTCCTGCAGCATGTATCAGTTCAGGTGCCGACACACCTCCATGCCATGCAACAAGACTGTCAAGCATCTTCTCTTGTTGTCTTCCTCTATCCTTTTTTCCACAGATCTTTCCAGTGGTCACAACATGTTCTATTTTCCCTCTTCTCATAACATGGCCGAAAAATGATGACTGTCTCCTTCTGATGTCTGTGATAAGTTGTCTTTGGGCTCCCGCATCTTTCAAAACCTCTTGGTTGCTCTTTTTGGCTGTCCAAGGTATTCTAAGCATTCTTCTGTAAAACCACATCTCTGAGGCCTCTAAAAATTGTTTGGCCTGCCTACCGATTGTCCGGGATTCACATCCATATGTTAAAACTGGATGTATGTAGCAAGCAAGAATTCTTTTTCTAACTCTCAATGACAAGGATATATTGCACAAGATGTTTTTCATTTTATAAAATGCAGTTTTTGCCTGTCCAATTCTGTTTCTTATTTCAGTTATGCATCTTCCATCTGATGATTTCCATATGCCCAGATACTTAAATTTCTGTACTTGTCCTAAAATAACACCATTGACTTTTATTACACATTTAGGAATAATTTGTTTCTTTGATACCACCATTACTTCTGTCTTCCCATTATTCAAACTGAGGCCCATTCTTCCACTTTCTAACACCACAATGTCTATCATTTCCTGTAATTCTTTCTGACTTGTTGCTATCAAGACTGTGACATCAGCATAACATAAATTGTTTATATTGTGCCCACCAACCACAATTCCGGGCATATAAAATAAAGATCTCATTATATATTCACTGTATATTGAAAACAAATCAGGTGACAGTACACATCCTTGTCGTACGCCCCTCTTTATGCTTTGAAATGTACCTAAACAGTTGTTTATTCTTATAGCTGCTGTTTGCTGCCAATACATATTCTTTATTATTCGTAGATCTTTCCCATCAATGTTTAATTTTTCTAACAGTTTGATTACTTCTTCATGCTTTACACAGTCAAATGCTTTTGTATAGTCTATGAAGCATAAGTACAAATCAGTCTTTACTTCTCTAGCTCTTTCTGACAATGTGTCCTCAGGACGAAAATGGCATTGTTTGTACCTTTTCCTTCTACAAATCCACATTGTTCATCGTTTAATTTTGTTTCTTATTCTTCTCATAATTATTCTATTGATACTGAAGCCAAATAAGAAAATTTTTTTTTCTCCTTTCACTAATACCAGGTTGTAGCCCAGCGTTGTAGTTTTCTGTTTTTGTCTTGCGCTTCTCTGGTGGCTTGGGTGATGGATTGTTCATCTTTTTAAAGGTTTCAGCCACACCATGTATCCATCTCTTTCTTAGTCTTCCTGTCACATTCCTTTCAGAAGTTTTGCTGTAAAAGGTCTCATAGGTAATTTGGTCATTCTCACTAGATGGCCAAAACTATTTAAATTCTTTGTAAATATAATCAAAAAATGGTCTTATTTCAACTTTTTCTCTAATGCTGGTGGTGTTCGTAACCCTACCCTTGCACTTGTAGTTATTTTATTTTCTAGTGCTCTGTTCCTTGTCCATGTTTCGCACTAATAGCATAAAGTAGGGACGAGGATGCTATTTACCGTTTGCTGTTTTGCTGAAAGGGAGACATTTGGATGTCTAAGCAGTGGGGCTAACTGTAAGATGACAGCATTTGTCCTCTGTATTGTGGCCTCTCTCTCTCTCTCTCTCTCTCTCTCTCTCTCTCTCTCTCTCTCTCTCTCTCTCTCTCGCTCTCTCGTCTGCCATCCTCTGTAAATATGCCTCCTAGGTATTTGAATTATCGTACTTGTTTTATTGTAGAACCGTTACTACGTTTCCTGTATATTCTGATTAACTCATTTGTTCCCCAGTGTTTTTTCTCATATCATACTCTTTGCAGGTTTGGTGTAAGGAATTCCCTATGGTGTCGTAAATCCTGCTCTTTATGGTGTATTAGACACTTCAGTGTCTGTTTTTGTTCCCTGTGCAATTCTTTCTTAATAAGTAACGAATAACTATCATGATAAAGAGCTATGATGTTATCCAATAGTTGATCTTGAATACCACAATCTTCTAGAATTTTTCGTAGTTTGCATCTATTCTTGATCGAAAGCCTTCTTTTGATCTATACATCATATGGTGTTGACTTTTATCATATTCAGTTCACTGCTCGCATATCTGCCTTAAAGAAAATATTGCATCTGTACAGCTACTTCCCTTTCCGAAAACAAACTCTCTTGTTTAACTGGAGTTATAATACTGGTCGAGCTTTGAATTTTAGTATTTTTGCGAAACAATTTCCAATATGGCTCAAGATGGAAATGCCCCCTATATGTTTCCCGTCTGGCTTGTCCCTTTTATTCTTTTAAATGGGCACAAAGATAGCTCCCTGCCAGTCACCTGGAACTCTCCGTGCCTCCCATTCTGATCAATCAATCTGATGCTGTCTTGCATGCAAGAAGCATTTCTGTTTAATACCATCTATTCCCGCTGCTTTTTTTTTTTAATATGTCAGTAGGAAGAAAGACGCAGAAACTAAATAAAGCAGTAGAGTGCAAAGGAATTAAATAGGTGTCTGAGTTTAAATATCTGGTAACAACAGTTACTGAAGATGGAAAACTAAATGAAGAAACGAACTTCAGTAAAGTAAACCAGCTAAACCCCTTCTTACAGCATAAGACAATCCCAACCAGCACAAAGAAACATCTCATACAAAGCAAAATAATTCCCATCCTATGCAACCAGTGCCAGACATGGTCACTAACAATGAACCATAAAAGGACATTAATAACCAGGGTACAGAACGCATTTTTAATTGCTGATACATACAAAGACAGCCAATCAAATGGTTAGTTCACTTAGCGAAAATGCCTTGTTACGCCATACTATACAAGCCTTTTTGTTCCCCTCCAGCGCTCATCTCTTGTCACGCGGTAACAAGTGTTAACAGTCTGGCCTTGGCTTTGTCCAATTCAGTCGACCCAGTTTATTCCGTGGTCAAACTGCCCGATCTCGCTCTGTTTTACTGAGGGTCAACTTGATCTTGCGTGATGATTCACTATCATCAACTCTGTTCATCCCGTAGCTGAACTGCCATCTGACACATACCCTAAAAGAGGAGAGGGACGTAGAGTGCAAGGAAGATCAAGAACAAGATGGAAAGATATCATCAGAGAAACTCTACAACAGCATGATATGCATATGGTCGAGATGGCCAATAGAGCAGGAATCGGAACCTTGACACGTGAAGCGGTAAAAGAAGAAGTGAAGTCGAAGAGATAGATGTACAAAAAGAAGAAGAAGAAGAAAGATGAAGAAAAGGATAACGATGATGATACTGAAACTGCCGTTATGTTCTCAAAATCAATGTTACTGCACACTGAGCAGGTTGCAGCCTACTTGCTGCGTTTACCTGGCAAGACAGTAGCCCAGTGTTGGAACTCTACCAATGGCATGGCCAGTTTTCGGTTAAAACTACTGCTGAATCGATCCAGCATTGGGATCTGGTCGTCAATAAACATTAAGAGGAGAGGCAAGACAGACACATATTCATTAAATTAGACTGCTACTGACGCCATCGAGACCTTCTAGTACAATAGTATTACCACTGCTAGGATTCTGCATACAATAGTATTACCACTGCTGGGATTCTGCATACAATAGTATTACTCCTGCTGGGATTCTGCATACAATAGTATTACCACTGCTAGGATTCTGCATACAATAGTATTACCACTGCTAGGATTCTGCATACAATAGTATTACCACTGCTGGGATTCTGCATACAATAGTATTACCACTATTGAGATTCTGCATACAATAGTATTACCACTACTGAGATTCTGCATACAATAGTGTTACCACTACTGAGATTCTGCATACAATAGTATTACCACTGCTGAGATTCTGCATACAATAGTATTACCACTGCTGGGATTCTGCATACAATAGAATTACCACTACTGGGATTCTGCATACAATAGTATTACAACTGCTGGGATTCTGCATACAATAGAATTACCACTGCTGGGATTCTACATACAATAGAATTACCACTGCTGAGATTCTACATACAATAGAATTACCACTGCTGGGATTCTGCATACAATAGAATTACCACTGCTGGGATTCTGCATACAATAGAATTACCACTGCTGGGATTCTGCATACAATAGAATTACCACTGCTGAGATTCTACATACAATAGAATTACCACTGCTGGGATTCTGCATACAATAGAATTACCACTGCTGGGATTCTGCATACAATAGAATTACCACTGCTGAGATTCTGCATACAATAGAATTACCACTGCTGGGATTCTGCATACAATAGAATTACCACTGCTGAGATTCTGCATACAATAGAATTACCACTACTGGGATTCTGCATACAATAGTATTACCACTGCTGGGATTCTGCATACAATAGAATTACCACTACTGGGATTCTGCAAACAATAGTATTACCACTGCTGGGATTTTGCACTGGTTTCTCAAAGTAGAAACAGGGTGCTATAGAAATGCCCCGAGTGCTGGAATGTTGGTTGCTAACCCAATCTAACACAGCTGGGACTCAATCAAGTCTCATCAAAATTAACACCAATTTCTGAAATATTTTTGTATTGGAAAGTCTGATCACATGCAGTGTATGTTGTGGCCTAGGGCCTAGGGTAGGTTTGAAAAGATATTTGCCTGAAGTCAGACCATTATCAGTGGCCTTTTCAACTTACATGACAAACAGGTCATATGCTAGTTTTCTTTCCTGCTTGCCGGGTTCAATCCCAGCTGCAGGCCTTGCACCTCGCATTGGTTTCGACAGTGGTATTGAGAAGCCGACCGTCCAGAAAGCAATGGCAAACTACTGGATGTAAACTTGC